ATGTTTATAGAGTTTTGCGTCAGATAAGTTATTTCTTTGTGACATTGACCAATTACTAGTGTTTGACCATATGCATCTTATAAGCACGTATATTGGGACAACTAAGTAAATAGCAATTAAGTTAAACTGAACATACTCTGTGAGAATGATAAGATTTTGAACCTTTAATGACTGGTAGCTAGGGCTTGCTTTAGAACATGCCTGACTACCATCTATCTCGAAGCGCAATATTGGCTGACATAAAAGTAGATTGGAAAACATTAGGGGTAACTAAATCAAGACGTTAGATCGGTTCATGAAGTCAATGACTGTTTGTCTGAGCTATGTCGGCGGATCTAGATTATCTGATTACAGTCTGAACGATGACTATAAACAGTGGTTGAGGACAAGTGAAATGGCTGAAAATGGCTGAACCTAAAATTGTACAGCAACCTATCCCATTCTCTTCTCTTAGGTACACAGTTATTCCTGATGAAATGGAAATAAACCGATTGAGCAGACTTTCATTAGAACAGTCAGCTGATGCGGTAATTTTCGAATTGTCGATTTTTCTGCATAATTATATCATTTTTATTTTTACGTGATGTTTATAGAGTTTTGCGTCAGATAAGTTATTTCTTTGTGACATTGACCAATTACTAGTGTTTGACCATATGCATCTTATAAGCACGTATATTGGGACAACTAAGTAAATAGCAATTAAGTTAAACTGAACATACTCTGTGAGAATGATAAGATTTTGAACCTTTAATGACTGGTAGCTAGGGCTTGCTTTAGAACATGCCTGACTACCATCTATCTCGAAGCGCAATATTGGCTGACATAAAAGTAGATTGGAAAACATTAGGGGTAACTAAATCAAGACGTTAGATCGGTTCATGAAGTCAATGACTGTTTGTCTGAGCTATGTCGGCGGATCTAGATTATCTGATTACAGTCTGAACGATGACTATAAACAGTGGTTGAGGACAAGTGAAATGGCTGAAAATGAGTCCCAACTGTTCAAGTGCATCTGCTTTTTTAGCTGTCATCAGATCCAAGTTATTTTATACCTCTTATCCCGCGAACTGTCTCTTCTCAAACCATATCCTCTATACCTAATCTTTTTTATTACTGATGGTACTACTTTTTTATACCACTGTATTCTTCATCTTGATTATTTTATCTCCCTATACTCATATGGTGTGTCAACTTGGAACTGATAAATGCGTCAAGTTCTGTGTTGATCTTGACTGATGATATCATTGTAATATCCCAACATTCCAATTGTTCCAACTTTGTATTGCAATTTTCAAAAGATATCCACAATAAGAAGGAATGTGTATAATTATTAAATTGACAAATAAATACGTTGTGATAGCGATCGAAAGGGAAAAAAATGTTTGTCACAAAGTTACGCACCGATCCCGAAAACAAAATAAATTACGGATCATTTCATTTAGTTACATCTTCAAATACATGTTTAAAAAAGCAAAGAATTTTAGAGCGATCTATTGCTTTCAATAACTTCGTCATCAGGGTCTACATTCAGCCATCCATAATTATTGTGTCAAGGTTATGCATTAGTGAATTCGAAAATAACATGTGCTAAAAAGCGGTTAAGTTTTGCATCTGTTATGATGTAAATACATCAAAAAAGTTTGAAAGGTCATTTACGATAGGTTCATATGTAGTTTGATCAAGTAAAGTTTTCAAAATGGTACAATCTATCAGCTCATTGTTTTCAAAGATACAGCTTAAAATTATTCGAATGTTTTCAGTCGTATTTAGTGTTTTTTTGTAAACCATTTCTTTAATGACTACTTCGTCACCATATGATTGTTCCTTAAGATAGTACTTCTCTTTTCTATTATTGTTACCAGTTGTAACTAGTTCATTTACCCATTAATTGTAAGAACCATTTGGTTTCATAAAATTAACAGAACTAATAATTACAGGTAAATAACCATTATACTTTCAATATTAAGTGGTTACTTACATATTCTAATCTATGTTATAGATAGCCTTTAGTGATCAACAAACTTCTTGTCATTAAACGAGATAACAAATCTATTCCATACAGAATATTTTGATTTAATTCAACAAATGGTATATTTACATTTCACCTGAAATGTACCTCTTATATCTCGTATAAACCTTTCTTTTAATTTCTGAGGTTTGTTGTACTAGGATAGGTAATTTGACATAGGAATACATTGTTTTGTAACTATTGAATAGTTGAAAATAAATAATCATATTTTTATTTGCATATCTGTTACTTAATAACATGATTTTCTGTAAAAAGAAAATCATTATCCTTTTATGATTGTTTTCTACTATCTTCGTTTCTTAATACTAATGATTATCTAGGCCTTTCATCATCTATTTTATTTTTAAGTAATTAATAAGAAAATTTTCACAGTTGAATTCATTAGTCGATCTAATCTAGACCATTATTTAAAACCTGGGAATGTCGGATGACGTTTTTGTCCCCAGTATGGGTCTCCTCTTTAGTGCGCATCCATGATCCTACAAAAAAACTTTCTCATTTTTCCATTTTAACTAAGAATTTAAAATAATCTCTTTTTTTGTTTTCATATAAACCTGTGAGTGTTTTTTTGATTTGTTTGGATTTTCATCTCTCTAATAAACTATTATTTTAGGATACTGAAACCAATGGATGGGAAGATGCATGGAATACAGATCCATGAACAGATCAAGCATTCTGTGACGATTGTGAAATTGTTTATTACATTTTCTTTTCATTGTTCATTTCTCTCCTTTGTTTTTACCATTAAAGGTATGGTTTATTTTGTGAGTGGTATGTTTGTTATTATTATTATTATTATTATTTTCTTTCTTTTATATTCTTTCTCATTTGGTTTTATTACTATTTCTGTAATATTTCTGTTAAGACAATAACTAGATTTTGAATCATCTGAGAATATTTACATGTTTGTATTTATTTTGATTTTTGAGCCATTGTAATTTTTCTTTGTCAGGTAATCACTAGTTTTTTTTTCTTCTTCTTGTACAAAAGGTTAATGAAAATTACTATTCTTTTAGTTCATGTCGTTTGTCTTTTTTCTTTCACTATTCATACACATTGTTAGTTTAATATAGAGATGATTAGATTGGTTTAGTTTATTATTAGTTTTAAATTGAACTAGATTTGCTTTAATTTTAACGAATAGATTGGCATTGATGTCCAAATTTGTATTGAAATCGATTTTTATTATTCAGTATTATGCTGGTAGTAGTATAAACGATAATTAATATGAATTAAGATTTTATGAATGGATTATTCTCATGATTCTATCAAAATTTACAAAAGGGACTAATGGTTTCAGAATTTTTGATTGTCAAGATGATAGAAAACAGTGCTAATCGCTAGATAAACACAATAATACGAAGTAACCAATTGATAGGTGCTAACGAGACTGTTAATGTCGTGAACTCCTAAGTGGTTTAAAAATCAGAAGAAACTAACATGACCATGTACAAAGTATTGACTGAGTAACATGATTAGATGTCATAAATAACATGAATTGTATAGCTTTCCCACTCTCTAGTAAATGAAATCCGAACTGTCTGATCTAATTCTAATCCATCGTAGTGCTACGTATACGGACAGATATAAGTAACAATTATCAGGGATTGGGAGTAGAATTCTTACAGAGGAGGAAAATGAAGAGAAGAGAAAGAAACACAAAAGGAGTCGGTTTAGCAACATGAATAGAAAAACGATGCAGCTTTTAGGAGACAATTCAAGGAAGATGTGCAAACCCTGTACTCAGTACATTGTTTTCATATTTTACAAATGCAGTGTATGGTTTTGCACAGTACGGTAATTTGGTTTACCCTACCCAGATCCTCGTTCATTAAACTATCGCCTCCACGAAATGATGCGGATTCGTTTGGTTGTAATAAAGGCAAAATGGTGATATTTCCTGACTTGCTTCATTTATTCAATTTTATTGAAAACCACGTTTTTTGTTACTTTCATCTGTTCCGACCGCATGATTGACATAAAACGCAAGATACTTTACTATCGTTGCCTGATTAACAAGGTAGAATACATTTCAAGACATATAAGCTGTTAATTAACATAAAAATAATTAGGTTAGTTTGGATTTAGTTTTACATTTAAATAGATTTGCTTTAATATTAGCTGATAGATTAAATTAGAGTTTATTTTTATTGAAGTTTACTTTTGATAGTATTGTGTAGGAGTTAAAATAACATTTAAGCGGATGATTTTTTTTGACGAATAGTATTTACGTAACAATCGGACATTGATCAATGTTCTAGTCGTAGTTACTGAAACTTTAATATCAGCATTTTTGTGTTATCTTTAATCTGGTTGGCTAATTTCTGACACTTATTTGGGTTTGACACCCCTAGAATATCGCATAAAGTCAGACTTGTCTATATAATATATCAAATGACCTTTAATGGGATATGAAGATATCACCCTGAAGTTTAGGGTTCATGCACCTTAATTTCTTTCGTATTGATTTCTTTGTGCAGATTTTTTTTTAGTGTAAGGTGATTGTCAGTAGTTGACAGGAAACCCTGGACCTAGGGATTAGATAAAACTTACAAGTTATCTCGTTAACCAAAGTATCTGGCTAGGATTAGTTTGCTATTTTTTTTCTTTGTAAACATTCTACATCGTCTTGTAAATTTAGCAAGACAAATGATATTATTAGTATTATTTTTTGTTAGTATAGCTCTTCTCATTTGCTGTGTTTGAATTATCTACTTGTTTCTGATGAAATAGATAACGAATTAGAGTATTTTAAGCATAAATCGCGAGCAATCATATTCAACCAACGAGCATGTTTCACTTTTTCCCTTACTAACAATAACGTGTTTCTGCCGATCAGAAAATCAGAGCGTAACTTAGACTACTGCTTAGTTCAAAATGGAATTGCGTTTAGTAATAAGCTTTGAAACTTATTTGCGACAGTATATTCAGGGCTCTATAAAGCACCTTGTTTGGCACACTTCTTATTCTTATGGTATGATCAAAATATACTTTTAGAAAATCTGTCTCATTTCTCTGCTGATTTGGCATCAAGATTTAAATCAGGATTTAAATGACTGAAGTAAATGTAATCAAATCTGCTTGTTTTGTACGTGTTCATAAAAATCTCGTGCTTGACAATATTCACTTATTTTGAAATAAGTAAACCAAAGTTGAAGTGTCTATTTACCATTGAAAACCTTATATCATAAGGGTTATCAGCTAGATTGTCAGTAAAATACGCGAAATTCATTCCAATAGAATTTGGGTTACTTATTTAAAAGTAGGAAGCTTAGATCACAAATAGACCAGATTCATCTCATTATGTATTTCAAACATAGTTTATTATAAACATAGAACACTGTACCCAGCTGATATGACTCTGCAAACATGAATTAGTTTTAGTCAGATTAGGTATACTTAAAAATTCAAATCTATTATTACTTGACAAACTGAATTGTCAACGTAATTATTTATTTAATTCAATCTCTATAAATTACTTTATTCTTAGATTTGTCGATTATGGACTAAATTGTAATTTCACATGTACATGAGTCAGTGATTAAAAATCCCTAAAATGGGGAACATTTTAACTAACCAAATTTACTACAATTTTTGTATGATTCGTTCTCATTGAAAAATGTACGGTAGCACAAATTTTTTCGGAGTCCAAAAACATACAAAGTAATGATGAATTAATAAGAATAGTAATACTGTTAATTAACAACCAATCGACATTAAAACCAACTAACCTACAACAATACAAATTTAATTGAGACAAATTTTATTATGAATTCAAAATATTTGACACATTCCTTATTACCATCTTGTGTTTTTTTAAACACACACTATGTGTATCCTTGAAGAAAATGAAGTACTAATCTCAAAGATCATAGATGTTCAATCTATACATTTTATATTATGTATTTTTCAAAACTTTGATAGTCTGTTAAGAAGTATGATTGACTTAAAATGTCAACAGTTAGGAATTTAAGTAAATAAAGTTACTGTACTCTGTTATTCATTTTTCCTACACTTATCTTTGAATTTGTTTGGAATTTGACAAAGTTTTTAAAAATTCATTAACCTATCAACCAACGGAAATCAGATAATGTTCTATGGAGTTACTTTGTTTATTTTTATGTTTATTTAGCTACATTTTTTCAGATTTGTTAAACTGAATTTATCACTCACTAGTACTTTAATATTTGAACTACTTGCGTTCGAAACTAAGTAGTTCAAATTCCAACTTGTTGAAAAATCTAATGTTCATCTTTTATATAAAGAAATCCAGGTTTATTTATGTCCAGTAACGATTACTATTGATTAATACCTTTAAAATAGGTTATTACTTAATTACTTACGCCGCTGACCAGCATTCTCCAACCCACTGTCCTGGGCCTTCTTTTCTAGTTCCATCCAATTCTTGTTCATTTTTCTCATGTATATCTCCATTTCCCGGCGTAATGTTTTCTTTGATCTTCCTTCTTCTTTGATCTTGAGCATTACATGTGACGGCCTGCCTTGTGACTCATTTGAGTGCTTTCCTCAATGTGTGTCCTATCCACTTCCACTGCTTCTTCCTGATTTCTTCCTCTACTGAGATCTGGTTTGTTTTTTCCCACAGTAGGTTGTTGCTGATAGGGACTGGCCAACGGATCCGAAGTATTTTACGTAGAAAACTTAATAAACACTTGTATTTTCTGGATGTCTGTAGTGGTTCTTCAAGTTTCCACCCCAGTAGACAGTAGAACTGTTTTTGACATTTGTATTGAAAACTTTGACTTTGACGTTGGCTTGCAGACGGTTGTTTTGAGTTTCGGATATTCTCCAGTTGTAAATATGCTGCGCTTTCTTTTCCGATCCGCACCTTCACATCTGCATCAGATCCAGCGTGTTCATGAATGATGCTGCCCAGATATGTGAAGGTTTTTACATCCTCCAAATCCTCCTCGTCAAGCGTGATTCGATTGAAAATAGGTTATTAGTCTAATCATTTGCAAGTACGGATTTAAATATCCATTAGTTTCCAAGTTAATACGTTCATCACTGAAGGTATTTCCGGATGCCGATTGATAACACATTTCAGTCTGCTGTAGTTTTTGTACGTTCTTTGTTTGCTAAGAATCTGATTTCACAACAACCGACTATTTAAAAAGTTCTTTATTTTTTACGACAAAATCAATTTTATTCTCAAGTTGACATATTAATTCGGTCATCACTGAAATAATGGATAAGACAGACAGCTGTTTTACCGTATTTCTGACGTTATCAAATAATATCATTGAACAAATTATTTCCAAGTTTGTAGCAAGCACTCTATCACCTATTCAGCTGTTCATTGGGTTTATTTTTGTATTTCAATAGCGATTTATAGTTGCTTACTAGTTAGATTTAGTAGGTTTTTTAATATCTGTTACAGTTAACTATGTTACCACTGTCATTCACAATCACTTAAAATACTACTGTTAATATTGTCATTTCTGTGCGATTCTCTATTTATTATCTTAATGATGTATTTCAGCGTTGCTGCTGTTTTGTCTTTTCTAGCCTCCTAAAAAGAATAAATCATCAGGCAGTCGTAGTCAACGTAAAAGTTCACGAAAATTAAGTAGTACTAATAAAAAGTCAAACAATCCATTAATTTTAAATAATGATTTACTACAAAGTATCGATGAATTAGATGATGCAACACTTCAATCATTTGGTCAGGATTATTATCTATTTGTAATTAAACAATTAGAAATGCAAGTAAATGCATATGAAGATTATATTAAACAATTATCCATGCAAAATGAAAAAATTATAACAAAGGTAACTTTGTTGTTGTAGAAGTTAGTTTCTGGTCAATTAAAATGTTTACTGAAATCCTTTAATTTACATTAGGGTCATTTTAATTTGTCATTAACTAATGACTTAGAATGTAGCCACATACATAAAGTGCACAAAATGACTGTTGTTATAAACTGTTGAAGATATGATCCCAGTTTTTAAATGTATCCAATAGATCTTGGTCAGTTTCACATTACTCTGTGTGTTCTTGATTATTCAGTCAGTCAAATGTAAACTTTGAGTGGGTGGTCCAATGAGATGTGTATCAAATATAACAATATTAGAGTTGTCGGTGGCATTGACTACTGATCCTTCACAGCCTCGTTATACCATGAAATCTCTTAAACGTTAAAGCAAAACCTCGATTTATAATCACAAGTTTCTTGAGATAATTTTGATGTTTATAATTATACACAATCGAAATGTCAGAAAACACAGCACAACAAATCTAAAAATCCCTAAGGTACACAACCATGATAATTACCACTTCAGTTTTTAGAAAATACTCGTGGTTAATTGATTGTTATCTTTTTTAATGAGAAAGAGCTATAATTATACACCACTTTATTGATAAAAGCTAATAATTAGAGTTACATAAAAGTATCGTAGAACTATTGTACAATGAGTACTATTTAGTAGTATTGCAGAGAACAAGAACTCGAGTGGGGAAATCGAATGTAGTTGAACGCGAAATTACAGAATATTTCACTAAAATCTGAGAACCATACAGTAAGTACTTAATTAGCGAAATATCAATCAATTGTCTCAACTTGACTTTTCCTTTTGAAAATATCAGTCCATCGTCTCAGATTTCATTGTCCCTGCATTTTCATAACAATTACCTTCCGTTTCCGTTCTTTCCTTATCGATCTTGTTCTGAAATACATTCTATGCCTGACCATCATTATATACTACTTATTTGGATATAAGTAGCTGACACCACAGTATAAAATCTAATCAATTAAAAACTGCCCAAGTTTCATGTAGTTTTTATTCTTTGATTATCTCTTCTTAACCAAACTGTTAACTTTCATTGAGTTGAACAATGTTTTTATATCTTGATAGTAATTTAATTCTATTTATGCCCCGACAGATTGCAGCCCGGATGCAATCAAGGATGAGTTTTACCACCAGTTATCTGTTCTTCTCCAGAAAGTGCGTTCGACAGATATTGTAGTACTAGCCGGAGACTTGAATACTCAGGTCAGGCGTCTAGGCACAGAAGAGGGTCGTTTAGGTGGCCGATGGGGACTTTCTGGTCGCAGGACAGATAACGGGGACCGTCTACTGCAACTATGCACAGACCACAACTTCTTTCTGGCTAGCACTAACTTTCGGCACAGTCATCGCCGATGTGCCACCTGGCGTCCTCCCTCTGCATCTCAAGCCTGGACTCAGATTGATTACATCGCGATCAGCTACCACTGGCGTGGTTGTGTACAAGACTGCCGCTCCTTTTGGAGTACCTATCTGGACTCTGACCATGCCTTGGTCTGCGCCAATCTTACCTTACTTTTCAGTGGCCAACGAAGTGACCACCACCAAAAAGATTGATGTTAGCAAGCTGGTTGCAACTTCTGTTGCTAGTAAGTATCGATGATGAGATCAATGCACGAATAGTGAAAGCCAGAGCGGCTTATGCCAATCTGGGCCACCTTTGACGCCTTCGTGATGTTAGTCTGGCTGTAAAAGGTCGGATCTACAATGCGTCGGTGAGAGCAGTTTTGCTCTGTGCTTGTGAAACCTGGCCTCTCCGAGTTGAGGATGTTAGACGACTCTCTATGTTTGATCATCGTTGTCTCCGAAGGATTGCTGACATCTAGTGGCAACATCATGTTATTATTGCAGATGTTCGGCATCGTGTGTTTGGGCGCAGAGATGATAATGCAATTGGTGTCACCATCTATAAACACCGACTTCGGTGACTTGGATATGTTCTACGAATGTCGTCCCAGAGAATTCCACGTCGTGCATTATTTGCCGGTGCTGGGACTGGTTGGAAAAATCGGAGAGGTGGTCAGTGTATGACATGGTGCCGGGGTATGAAAGAAATCTGCAAAGGGCTGGCTTGTGTTAATCCTTCACGACTCCCTGGTTGGGGTCTTAGAGATGGTGCTACACAGTGGCTAGAGACGTTATCAGATATGGCTCAGAATAGAAGCCAGTGGCGATCCTGCTGTAACCTTCTTTTACTTTGTTCATAAAAAGTGGTTGTATCTTTCTTAACTGAAAGATTTCTTCTGATTGTACCTTCCCGTTCCTCCAATATTACTATTATCATTATTACACTACGTTACACCAACCTCTTCGTTATTGTTCTGTTTTTTCTTCACGCTCCTTACCTTTTTTCTTTCTCTTCGAATTCTCATTGTTTTGTGTGGCGCATATATATTGGCGCTGTCCTGTACCAATATTTATATGTTCAAATAAAAATAAATAATACTATTTATAAACAACTAGAATTTTTATTTGCATATTTCTTTCTACATTGTATTAATCCAGTAAAATGTTATTTTGCAATGTATTACAATAGGGATTGTTTATGTTATCAAGACTGACTACTAAGTAGTTAATGGATTAAAGTGAAATTAATCTTAAGTGAGATAAGTGTTGAAGAAAATTAAAATCGAAACATCATGATAGTGTGTATTTAAGGGAAAATATCTAACCATTTAAATGAAATAATTAGTATACACTTACGAATTTTTATCTGATATCTAACTCTGAAGTCTATTCTCTTACCCAACTAGATAATTGTGTAGTCTGATTTAAGCTATAGGGTTAGTAATATAAACCGATTACTTGAATCAATATATGTGAAACTATGTTTAAACTCACTATTATATAGTATAAAGTTTAATGTCTTAAGTATTAAGTCATCAATTCAAATAGAATCAAGTTGTTAGAGAGGTGTACCTAGTCTTACTTTGTAGTTGACTGACTGTCAAAGTCATAAATTATTTGAATTAACTGTATCTGAACAATAAGAAATCATAGCTTATTAAAGCTAATTAAGTGGTATAGATGGTAGAAGCTTGGGTAAGATCAGTATTCAGAGTCAATTAAAAGATGAACAGAATGTAAATAAATATATATCAATTAGATATAGAATAAAATGCCTCATAGTACACAGATATTATTCAATAGTAATAATAAAATAACATTAATTCTTCTATATGACTATGAAGAGGGTTTAGATTATTAAATCATGGATGAACTTTTTGTACAACTTCTGATATCTTTTTTTCCTCAACCTATCAAGATTGAGACTTTTCTCTAAGTAAATTGAGTGATCAGTGCCTTTTATTAGACAGTTTTTAGTGTTTATGTGTGAACTTTAAAATAATATATAAATTACGAAATTCATTCCCATTGTAGATGTTACAGAACTATGATAGAGTTTGTCAAGTAACTAGAACTTCTACCTCATAAGAATTCGGGCATAGTAAATGAGATGTCGTTTGATATTCGTAACCACTGTAATCCCAGATGATCCAATTGGATACAACTTTGACGGTGTTTTTCTTTTGCAAGTGAATTGATGCTTAACAGTTAACATTAGCTCTGTACATGATTGTTCGAAGACTACGTATATATCAAGCAACTCAGATTCATATGATTTTGACACTGCCATTGTATTATCTCTAGTCGCTTAAATAGAATGTTGTGATAAATCTCACTGTTTAAAAAACTTTGAGTTCAGGTTAAATATATGCTTAACTAATATTTTATCGTTTTTTAACAGTGATTCTATTGATTTAAATTCACTGAATAATATTACTGTTATATCCGAGCGAAGATTAAATCATGAGTAACTTCTGAGACATATTAATTGACTAATATTATCTATACATTCTTATGGTATAACTATTCAATAATTAGGTTATCTATATTTATATTCCTCTTATTATAAGCTTTATTTTGACCTATAATTTATTATTGTACGATTTACGGTTCTTAAGCTATGTTCAGTTTATTAACTACTGCCTCCCATGTTCACAGCCACTTTTTGGCTTTATCGTGTACAAATGTTATTTCTTATTTTATGGTGCGTTGCGGTCTGTTTGATTGATATATAAACCCAGTATGTCTAAAACAAAAGATTCGATTCGCATATTGGAAGCTGGTATTTAGTGTTCTGGACTCAAGTGGACGGGCTAGGCGGACATAGAACCAATAGAAACGCTAGACCGCCCATACTGGTCGAACGTCATTGGTTTTGGCACAGTGCAAAGATTGTATAAGTCGTATTTTGATTGGTGGATAAATCACGTGATAAAAATCCGGACATTAAGTCATAATAATTACACTTTAGCTATTTAATTATTCTCTTTTATAATCCTTATCATATTACTATTTTATAGTATCATACCAGTGATTTTGAATGTCAAGATCAATTTAGAACATTGAATAAAAGATATCATGAGAGAATCAATGAAGCGGCTGATTTAACTGAACGTATTCAAGCTATACAACGTGTTTTTAGAACAAATCTTGATAAATGGAGATCTAGAGAAAATGAATTAGAAAATTTAAAAAAATCTACTGAAGAAAGAATGATGGCAGAAAATTTAGCAATTGGTTAGAAAAATAATTTATTTTATTTTATTGATTATTGTAATTGAAAAATTTAAATAATGAAAAAGTATAATGATTTGGAAGTTATGGTATCAAAATAGTTGCAAAAATAAATATCCATTTTCCCTTGTTGTCAAACGCGGTTGAAATAATGAATAAGTTTGATCTTAATTTAGAGTTTGTAATTTTGTATTTAAGTTGTCTTAGACAAGTACTTAAGTTTTGTTTTAGCATTGACTATATGAAGTTTTAACCTTTACTTATTTTAACTATTGTAATTTCTAAAATCTTCGCAAAACCCCTTCTGACAATAATCATCTGCTCACTAGTAACTGACTTCAAGAGACATTTCCTGGGGTTCTAGTGAGAAGCCGTGACCAGTGGAGTTCAACCAGGTCTGTTGTGAGATATCAGTTCACTGAAGACAATGGTGTACGGTGGCGCAATTTCGTGGATTGGTTAAAGTTGAACATTAATACCATTAGACGCCGGACGGTTCAGTGGTCTAATGGTTAAGTGCTCGCGCGCGAGACCGATAGGTCCTGAGTTGGAATCTGGCGGTGGGCGCGGTCGTGGATGCGCACTGCTGAGGGGTCCCATACTAGGATGAGACGTCCGTCTAGTGCTTCCAGGTTTTACTTATTTGTTCAAAAACAATTTGTGCTTGCATTGGACCTGCCTTGGTTATATTGATTTATTGTCTTGAGCACTGTGATTAGATTTCCTTTTTTCATTATCTCTGTATTTTTTGTTTTAAAATATTCCAATTTATCTAGCTGATTATTATTTTCTCATTATATAGATGTCTTAAAAAGTAAGTGTATGACTAAATTACTCATAATGTATTGCATCAACATATCACATAGTTCGGATAAACTTATTTAAATTGTAATTGAGAGAGAAAAATATAAGTTTAATAGTAACAGCAACATAGTGGAAGGTTTGCATTTGAAGTATACACAGTAGGTACATCAAAATCATTTGGATGCAAATATATTCATTTCATGTGTTCTAAATAAAATGAAATAATTGTTTTCTAGGTATTATCGATATCAGCACTTATTTAGTAATATGTTATTTTTGGAGACGTTAGGTCCGCAGAACTCACTTGGGAAAGGACCTAATTTTGTAATTTTATTTAGGAAATTTGAATTTCTTTATTTTCGCGCCAAAGGCGCTCTTGTCACCTTCATCTCAGATTTCCCACTGGGAAGTGTCTAAAATGCTATTGGTTCGTTGTGTCTTTTAGTGTGCAATTTGGTAACTCTCCCCAAGGACGGTTTTGCACCGTATATATACGTTTTGAATCGTGTTTGTTGTTATCGCTCGTTCTGGCTGTTTTGCAGAATATACTTCCCATTCCAAGGTTGAACTTCTCCCTCTAGTTAGCGGGACTGGGACGTATCAATAGCTAGCTTACTGGTCTTTGGTCACCGAGTCTTGTTCTCGTTCTCAGATTAAGTGAACTCGTGATAGCTTCAAACCTAGCAGTTATTGATTTTTGTTAAGAGTTTTGAAACGTAATAGTTGGTTTGTACCAGCCTAAGTCTCCCGACCAGTATTCACTTATTCATCCAACATCAGTCCAGGATGAGAATCAACTTAAAATTTATTGAATTCTTACAATGTTTTAACTGAATAAGGTCTCATAGTTTGTGAATCATTTGTTTGAGGACGTACGTATTGAATGTCTTGAATCAATAAAATTAGAAGTAAGCATTTACTCACTAAAGAAATGGAGTTGTGGTTGATACATATTGCTAGATAGTTAAATGTGTGAACTACTAAGAATCGAACCATTAGTCGGATAGTATTGAGGTTTGGGTGAGATACAATAATGCACTATTACTTTCTTGGTTTGGTCATGTTCGCACATTGCTAAGGTGATTCAAAGAAGCAGTTGTCAGCCGCTAACAGATTTGCAGTAGTAATACGCACTACTGACAAGTTCCTGTAGGAATCAATTTTATGATAGATTGTATTCGTTAAAGGTTTATGTATAAATATGTTGTATGCTACTTATGCCCGTCGACGTAAGTAGCATGTAACACCAGTCGGAAGTGGAGAACCTAGTAGCAGAATCCTATGAAGTTTGGCTTGATGAGAACAGGAACGGAATTAGAAAGGAATTGTGAATCGAAAGAATCATACATAATGTGAAAGACAAATTTTGGAGTTCTACAAATCAAGTATTTAATGTATGGTTCTTATATTTTATCAAGATACTTTATAATTTTGTCTTAAAATACATTCATTGTCCCACCTGAATGTTCGTCCATTACTTATATAGTATACACATACAGTATAAAGACCGGACAGAGCATAGTTGACTTAAAGTTCTTCTTTTTATATCAAATCATACCATAATAACTTGAATTTTATAAAACTCCTTTATTGTTCTCTATTATTTCTTCTTTTTTCTAAACTAGCTAATGAATTAGCTTCACTCGAAGAATTTCGATTAAATCGTGAAGCCCTTTGGATACATTATCATAATTTAGAATCTACTCTTGATCAGATTAAAAATGAACATAAGTTAGCTATGGAAAATTTATCAGAAAGGGATCTAGCTTATAGGGGACGACTGAAAAAAGTCACTAAATTAAAAATTAATGAGGTAAATTCTCTTCTTATTTCTAATTGTTAAGAAAGTAAGTTTATTTAATCATGGTTAAATTCAACGATGTAAATATTTTTATATTCAAAAAATCTTCAAACATACATTCTGCCGAAAGAACCAGTTTTGTTAAAAATAATACTCACAGAGTATCTGAGAATTGAACTGTGACGACGGACCACGTATGAACTCGAGGAATCTATAGGAAGCTCAGAAGGAGCCGAAGATATTCCATCCGATCACCTTCTGGAAGAATATTCTAGAATTCCTACGTGTAGTTTCCCGATTGGACAATGCTAATAACCCCCGTATGCTGATTGGTGGACTGTAATGATGATTTTGTTCGTACTAAAAACTCTAAATACCTGACAATTTTGCACTATAATTGACACTGTATGGGAATAATATTCCTTTCATTAGTCTTCTGTCTTCTCATTGCGACTTGGAAGGGTTCTGGCGTTCTTGTGCTCACGTTATACACAGTATATTAAGAACAACCTTCTAGATATAACATGAATAGGTGTTTGTGATCAAATAACTATTTGCCTAACAATTAAATGCTGTATTACAATATTGCTTGTTTCAATCAAGTTTGTGTCTAAATTAAATATTTTAGTAACTTTATTCGTAATAAGATACACTTTCTTTGTCGAAAATCTAATAGATTTTATCTGCTCTTGTCAGATGTCATAGATTATACTGAATACATTAAAGACTCACTTGCAAGTAACAGAACAGTTTCTGTTCCGGTTGCTGGTGCACCGATTAAATTTTCACCCTCCTCTGATGGCTTGAACACTGTCACACGTTTTACAGACCACTAATTACATATATTTTTGGCATCAGGACTGCCTCCAGTTAACTGAATATAATTTATCTGTTGGGTATTCTGATGTAAAGATTTCTTTCTCGTCAGTTTATTGACTTATTGAATGTTCTATATAAAACAGCCCGAATAAAGCAAGTGGATATAACCATCTCTCTTGATTGTTCTACATTTAGAGTGGGCTTTAGTGGACACTTTCATCTCACCAATCACTTTAATGTATCTGGTCACAAATTTCTTTTAACAACTGCGTTCCATTTAGTTATTTACGGTAATTCTTTTGTTACCTAACTTTTCAATGTAAACTGATTGCAACCAATGAAACTTAATGGAAAAGTTTCATACTACTAATGAGTACAAAACATTTTGTTATAAAAAATATTGTTGTAATGGTTCTGGCCGTTTTCAAATTTTATCGTTTTCACTTGGGAATAAAATCACATTCAATCAATCTACTTAAATCTTTTTAGAAAAAAAGGTTGATTAAGGATGGTCCATTCATGAAAAATGGTTAAACACTGTTTTTGCTTCTTATAACTAGTTCTCTAACATTTCCACAATTACATCACGAAATAATTTTGTAGGTTAATAAATTATTGAATAGGTTTTGTGAGTCCTTTATTGATTGGATTTTGATCTTTGGCAATCATGATTCAACATTTTGGTGACGTTGATCAATATAATATTAGTGTTGGTCGGCTAGGGACGACTTTACTTTGACGATATTCACTGATGTGAATGGTTTGCCATTTCATGCGATTGAACATCAACCGAATTAAAATCAATGTTTAAACATTAAAAGTGCTGATGTACCATTAACGTACCTCTAAATCTTTTAATTACAATCAACTACGTTGCACATTGCAATATATATTTATATTAAAACAACTGTAGGTAGTTAAGGTTAACTTTGTCACTCATATATTTAAATTGTGTGAACTTAGTTACTTTTAAGCGCAAATATTCATTTTGCTGGTTAATGAGTTTTTAACAACTTTTTATTTTCAAAGTTGAGCCCATGATTCGATCTAAGCTAGACCACCATTGAAAACCTGAAAGCAGCGGACGACAGTTTCGTCCCAGTATGAGACTCCACAATAGTGTGCATTCACGGTTCCTCACGCTGGACTCGAACCCAGGATCTCTGGTCCCGCGCGAGAATGCTTAGCCTCTAGACATCCTACAGTGTTTATGTCTAACTTCAATCGATTCATGATCTTGTGCATTATTATTTGCTTGATTTAATATTCTTAGGTTGCTTCGGAATTTCGTTCCATTTCATTTCAACGAACTGAACCAACTATAAAACGTATGCTTGCTGAAAATGTTTCTATTGAAGATCAGTTAGTGAAACTTTCCGTGGCTATAGCTGATATAAGTAGAGAAAATGTTGATTTGTTGACGGAATTTTATCACTTAACTGATGAACAATCAAAGTTAGAAAAAGAACAAATTTTATTAAGTACTCGTAGTTCAGCCATACTAAAGGTGAGTTTCTAAAAGATTTTTGAAGATATAAATTTCTAATAGTACCTTATCTATATGATAGAGAAATGAGTTGTTAGTAAAATGTTGTGGAAATCGTTGAATTTCACTGCAATCATGAACCGATCTAAATTAGACTACCACAAAAAACCTGGAAGGACTGGATGACCTTCTAGTCCTGGTATTGGTCTTCTCAGCAGTGCGTATCCACGACTCTACACTCGGAAATCGAGTCAAGGACCGTTGAATGTCAACTCAGTTTTCTGAGAGTTAAGCGTTCACGCGCGAGGACTGGGATTTTGCGAATGGAGTCGTGGGTATATACTTGTGGGAAGTCCTGTACTAGTACGAAATGGCCGTACAGTGCTTCCAGGTCTCCACTGTTGATCTAATATTGATTAATTCATAATTTCAATCGAAAAAGGACTATTATGTATTATTATGTCTTATAAGATAAACCTACCGACGAGCACTTACCGAAACGCTTGGATTTTCAAATCTAATGTGTAGGTAGAAGAGAAAGTAAATATGGGATACTTCATGTGTGTAACGACTATTTAAGTCAGAGTCGGACAATTATTTATAACAAAGGTCTATATTCACACCAACACTACGTCAGGTGGGTCACACGTACATGAGATGCCGAGACCGTTTTAGTCAAGATAGTGATGTGTACTATTTATTAACAAAACCTAAAATTGCGTACATGATCATTAAAGTTAATAATCTTACCTTATCAGTAAGAAGAAGGCCTTAATTCGCATATTTTTGCTAATAATTTGTAATCAGTGATTAATTTACTTGTTTTAATGTACACTACACTGCATAGGTAAGCGTTTATTAGTTGTCATCTGAATTCTAACTTATCGAAGTTTATTAATAACAACTCCTGTTCATAAATATAGGTTAATTCCTCCGTTCCCCTACATAACCACTGGAAATTGAACATTTTGCATGTTTAGAACTGCCATTCGATATTTTTCATTTCATATAATATTGCAATGTGTTCGTTAAGATTAGAGATTTGTTGTAACACTTAAGTTTTAGCAAATAGATATTTCTGTACTGAAACATCTTTGTGTGATTTTTCAAATTGCTTATGATTCAAACTTTTTGCTTTTAGAGATTCACATTAAAGACAATTAAACCAGTAACATGTTTGATGTCTATGATATGATATGAGCCAAACAATCGGAATCCATTCAAAAACCTATATGTTATATATATGGCGCCGGTTGCTATGTTAAGCCCACATAGCATATTCTAGCTTCCTGACAGACCAATTTATTCATCCTTTTTGAGTTACATTTTGACGTTGTTAATTATTCGCTTGTCAATGTTGACTGTTTTTATGCAACGTATGTGTGTGCGTTTCTTATCTTACTTACCACATATCTGTAACCTATTTTTTTCTGACTATAAGTATCGAGTCACGCCTGATTAAGACGAGCTTACTCACTTGCCTTCTCCATTGCGCGTCACTCTGTTTGCTTCACTATCCGATCAACGATTGTACGAAACACACGTATTCAAAAATCTATTCTCGTATTTGACTTATTTAATTCTATTATTCACTAATGTGATTTAAGTTGATGATTGTATACGAGGATTGGTGGAATGAATCATTCAATAACAATCATTCATGCGATCTAAATGGAGTCAGATTTAGGGCCATTAAAGTGGTGAGCCATTCTACAGCATTAACGTTCAATATAATTGGCGTCAAAATAACGGGCTACAAAAAAAACATTATCTAAGATCACGTTTCTCATAATATAATTTCAAATTATCTCACTTCTAAAATAGCACTTACATCATGGTGATTTTGGTATTTCTCTTCTAATTAATGAATGTAAGTTGATCAGTTTTATAATATTTTTTCCTGAAGGGTTTACTGACGCAACTGAATCCTCAGGGTGTTTTCGATATGAGATACAAGGTATTCTCACATGCCAATCTTCTAGGATAAAGTTATATGTCTATTAATGAAGTGTATGAGAAAATAGTGAGTGGCCAAGTCATATTCCAGCCATTGTTGGATTTTGAGGATGGATGTAGATGATGATCTGTAGTAATTTCTTTTCACTACTACAGATCAAATCAGTTTGAATACTGTTTTTCTGGATGAAGTTGGTTTTAACAGGACGTAAAAAACCAACAATGAAAATTTATTTCCCTCCTAAATTGTAACCTTGGATTCGAATCTAACCTTCATACCAAATCTCTATCGCCTTCGTTCACCGTGCAACTTCAGTACTACTCTCTCGATACCTGTAGTTTTTCAAGCGTTCAACCAATAGTCGAAATCTGCTACGGATCGTCACAAACGATTGACTGGGGATAACTGCTGCAGTAACGGAAATATATATCTGAAATCGCGTCACCTTTTAGGTTGAGTATATTTAATTGGGAAAGTCATAAAAAGTGTCTGTTATTGTTTGTTTGATCATCAACCGTAACTAGAATTAGAGAGGCTACAATCTGAAGAAAATATTCAGCTGTCCTTCTGTCAGATGTTAAATAGAAACATCGACTGGTAAATGTTTTCTAATTTACAAAATTAACCCTCAGAGATCGAATAGTCAGATTCCACGTCTCATCGAAATATACAAGATCAGTTATTAATGTAGAGGCAAAAATAGTCAAGTGTGTTCCAACTAAATGCTCACCTTCATGAAAAAATAATACCATAAGTGACCTACATCTAATTTAAGCTACTTCGAATTATTAACCAGTACTATTACTAACAAATAAAAGCATAAAACAAAAGTTTGAATCTGATCTTTAAAAACGACCGAATATTCAGTATTTAACCTCTGCTGTCTTTTTTCTGAAAGAATTTGTTATCTGGTAAATTATAGTGCCTTGCGTTATGACAGCCGAAACTGGACTTAAAACCGGAAGAAACTAAGATTTGCTAGGCTTAAGAAAGAAGACAAAAAACTGATGATAGATGAGGTTTTATTCATCGTTCAGAAACACAACAGTAAATAGAAAGTACTCGATTATTGATAGATTTCAATAGCATTTAGTAATCAGTCAGTAATCCCATATATAAACTCCGCCTGTAGCTCTTCTAAAGTTATTGCCAGTCCAAAGCCCGGGTAAAGGAGGAGGGTTGGGTGTGGGGTCGACAGGCACATCCTGTAGAAAAAACTCTTACTAAGCATCGCCAACCAGTGCCATATCTAACTAAAATAGTAGGAATATAACTAGCCTTTGTGCTGGAATTATACAAGTGAATGTTATATGGAACGAATTTCGTACCGAATCAATAAAAAAGAACACTATACTGAACAGGTATTACACCACATTCACACTGTATTAAGAATAAAACAAACAATATAACGAGTCTTAGGTGGTTAAACATAGTCAGTAGGAGACTGGATCTATGTTTCATACGAATTAGTACTCGTCAGCAAGATGTATTTGTAATCTTGAGGGAACTGACCCTCCTTGAATTCAAGCAATAGTCTAAGACTGAAAAATTTACAGTTTTGTTGTTCACTAAGTACTGATGTTTGACACTATTCAGTGACCAATCAGTTGTAGATATACTGAATAGTTATAACACTAAATTAAAACATGATCTTGCATATTATCTCAACCTAGCAGCTTGGTTGTAGCTGATGATATATATTGTAGTAAAACCTTAAACTTATTGTTGGTGAATTGGAGATAATGTTTATTTCTAACTTGTTAAAATATGGTGAAGAATTGATAAAGGAAGATTTGACCGTTGCTCAGTTATTAGCAACATGGCTACATTAAGAAAAGCGTTCTGTTAACTTTCTTGTTGGCTGTGTTTAAAACTAGTTATAAATGGTCACTCAATCATTTACAATTGATTGATCACTGAGTAGTGATCGATGTCATGTATGTCAGGTCCTTCTTAGTGCAGATCGAATTCTATCGACCATGTTGCAATGTGGCCGCTAGTCCAGGTGACCCAACATCGCATGCACTATGTTGAGATAAGATGGTGGTTGGGGGTAGTCTACAGGAACCATGTACCTAGGTTTCGTGCTATTCGGCACTCGTCAGCAAGGCTCACTTGTAATCTTGAGGGAACTTGGTCGATAGAATTCGACCTGCACTAAGAAGGACCTGACACATATGACCCAGTGATCAACCAATTGTAGAAACATGTCAGTCCTACATGAGGTCAGTCGCGTCCCAGTTAGCTCAGTAGTAGGGTCTCATTGTAAAACTGGGTGACATGGAGTCGAATCCGTTAGGGAGCATCAGTTCCTTCAAGATTACAGGTATACCTTAGTGACGAGTACCAACTAGCATGAAACCAAGATCCAGGGTCTCCTGTCGACTATCCCCAAGGTCAGGCAATCATTTTATTGATTTGTCTTTCCATGATCAGACGTTCAATTGTTTTTTTCAGATTTGTGTTTGTTAATATTTGATCATTTGATAGATAAATTGTACAAATGAGTACTTCATAACTATTTTATATCTACCTCATTTTATTTTACCTCTCTGCTTGTTACTTTTTCTAAACAAAGGTATCTCATTTATTATCAATACTTCAAGTAAAACTTGATGAGAAAATTAAAGAAGCTAATGAAAAGAAAGAAATTTATTTGAATTTAAACAATAAATGTAATGAATTAGAGCATGAGAGACAATTATTAAATACAAAAGTTGAAGTGAGCAAATTATCATGCATAATAGAATAATTAGTTAGTTAATTTCGCCTGTTGCTCCCAATGGAGCATAGGCCGCCTACCAGCGTTCTCCAACACACACTGTCCTAAGCCTTCCTTCCTAGTTCTATCCGATTGTTGTTCATTCTTCTCATGTCTGTCTCCATTTCTGGGCGTAATGTGTTCTTTGGTCTTCCTCTCATCCTCCTTTGGCCTTGAGGATTCCATGTGAGGGCTTGTCTTGTGACGCAGTTGGGTGCTTTCCTCAATGTGTGTCCTATCCACTTCCAGCGCTTCTTCCTGATTTCTTCCTCCGCTGGGATCTGGTTTGTTCTCTCCCACAGTACGTTGTTGCTAATAGTGTCCGGCCAACGGATCCGAAGTATTTTGCGTAGACAATTGTTAATAAACCCTTGTATCTTCTGGATGATGGCTTTCGTAGTTCTCCAGGTTTCTGCCCCATACAGTAGATCTGTCTTGACATTTGTATTGAAAATCCTGACCTTGGTGTTGGTTGACAGTTGCTTTGAATTCAAGATGTTCCTCAGTTGTAAATATGCTGCTCTTGCTTTGCCGATCCGCGCCTTCACATCTGCATCAGATCCACCGTGTTCATCAATGATGCTGCCCAAATATGTAAAGGCTTTTACATCTTCCAAATCTTCTCCGTCAATTTTGATTGGATTGGTGCATTCTGTGTTGTATCGGAGAATCCTGCTTTTCCCTTTGTGTATATTGAGACCTATTGCTGCTGAGGCTGCTGCTACACTGGTCGTCTTTTCCTGCATCTGTTGTTGCGTTTGCGATAGAAGGGCCAGATCATCTGCGAAGTCTAGATCGTCCGACTGCATCCTAGATGTCCACTGTATCCCGTGCTTCTCTTCGAATGTTGAGATCATCAGTCGATCACCAGGAGAAAGAGAAAGGGTGAGAGTAAGCAACCTTGCCTGAAACCGGTATATACCTCGAACGAGTTTGTCAACTGTCCTCCATGCACAATTCTGCGGTGTAATCCATTATATGAACTTTGTATGATATTGACTATCGTCTGAGGCACGCCGTAGTGTCGAAGAAGTTTTCATAGTGTTGTTCTGTCCACGCTATCAAATGCCTTTTCGTAGTCAATGAAGTTGATGTAGAGTGATGAATTCCATTCAATTGATTGTTCCACAATGATCCGTATTGTTGTGATTTGATCTGTACACGATCGATCCTTACGGAATCCTGCCTGTTGGTCTCGACGTTGGGTATCTACGGTGTATTTCATTCTTTTTAATAATACCCTGTTGAAAACTTCATGGTATTGAGAGAAGAGTGATACCCCAGGAGGAGTTATAATAGAATAATAATATATAATTCTGATTAAAAAGATAGATATCACTAGCCTTAACTTAATCATTTCATTATTAATTATAAGTTAAATGAAACAAAAAATTAATCTTATAAATAGTTATTTTATTAAACATGATTAGTGCAATGAATCACGTTAATTTTGATTCCCAATTAATATTATCTAATCAAATATTGAATGAACAATGTGTCAATGGTAAACAAACATGGTGGAGAAGACTTGTAGCTCAGGTGGATGGTTTTGATGGGGCTTTCATGAAAGCTCCACGACCACACCATCCAGCTCAGAGAACAAAACTCCATCAAAAAGATAAACAACCATTCTGAATACTGTTATCAGGATATGCTTGATTAGTTTGTAATTTTATAGAATGTAAATGAATACTTTTTTGTTTCCAAAAGTAATGTCAATTATTTGTTAATTTATAATAAGATAAAGCGAAGAGATTGTTTTTCAATGGAATTAAATTTGAAAGATATTTTAGACTTAAAACAAGCCAGTAATATAGAAACATTCATAGAGGAAAAATAGTTAGTGACAGATATTACATTTTCCATGTTTACATAAAGAGAAAATCAGCAGAAATGAATAAATTTCAGGAGAAAGATTTGGAGAAAAGAGGATACAAATGAATTCAACATTTAGGTTAAGATTTAAAAAAAGACGAAGGCACCTACATCACTGTAGTTTATTTTAAATTATATCACTTATGGTCTCTTTTGATTAATTTTAAAATTTTTAATGATTTGAACTGCCAAATCTCAAGTAACCTACAGTCACCGAGTAAACAGAAGGCATAGTTTCAAAATCAATGGACTGAATAATTTCATATTAAGTTTTCTGTAATCATCAGAATTCTTTCTATGAATGGCTTGGCTTCTTCAGTCGATATAAGTTTTCAGACATATATATATGTATAAAGTTGAAGGTAGATACAGTACTACTGATTCACTATTGTTAAAACAGATTATTAATGTTTCGCTTAGATCAATTGTTTAAATTCATATTATCCACTTATTTCTCCCATTTTCAATAAGTATACCTATCAGACGTAAATTAAGTCTGAAGTGACTGTTGAACATACTACATACTCTTTATTAGACAGGCGGTTGACAATTTTCCCACAGAAATTATAGTATTACAAGTTACAAATGAGATTTTTGTAATCATTTAGCGTATTTTTAGCCTGTACTTCGACTAAATATAGGTACACAATAGTTCGAAAACATTATCTAATATTCGAAAGTACAAAATTCATGCTTAGTATTTCCTGAAGTTGTACAATAAGACAATGCTGTTAGTGTAATTTACACAGTCAGAGAATTTTATTGGTTAATGAAAATGTGTAACCGTCTTCTAACTAGCTAATTATGCTAATATTTATCAAAATATAAATGACTATTGCTATAAGAGTAACTTTCTCGTAGGAAACCTTGACTATATTCTCAGAAAAGTTTTAATGTAACTCGTTTTCTAGATAAAAATTTATATAATTGACTTCAAAAAAACAATTTTTGTGTGAGAACTAGTTAAACCAAGGTAGGTTAAAACGTTATCATAGGTTGAAGTTTTAGTTCTATGGTCAGAATGCTGCCGCTTCTACACTTGAAGCAAGTATCAACAGAGAATTAGTGAGCTTGAATAAACCTATAGAATTTCGTTATTGATAAGCTTAGTGAAAGACATTTGAAGTTATATGAAGTAGTATTTATTGATAAGTTGACTTTGACAAACCTTGTGAAAAGGCACAATTTGCTTCTGTTATCGAAGAGGAATTGAATGATTCAATGAATGGATTCTCGATTATTAAATAAGAAAAGAATACCGATACACATTGTGATACACACTGTGATACTACATGACTAAATGGTAATTATTCTCAAGACTAGACTACTGACGTAAGCCACTGAATGATTTCAAATAAAAACAAAACCACTCACCAAAAGAATAAGTTGTTTATGTAATAAATTGACATACATCTATACAGAATAATAACACAGAATTAATATAATAAAAGATCATAGGGGATTAAAGGATATCGGTCCGTAGATCACTCAGTTCCTACTAAATTAAAATCTGACTCTTGAAATTAATTCGTGCTGATTAAATTAGCTTCATAGTCTCATAATTATTACTAATTTTTCCCTTTGAATTTAGGGTTTAATAAGTAAAAGAGATCATGTGCTGAATAATATAAACAAAATCAACAGAAAATCAGTAGATTGTTCCGATTCAATTCATCATTTAACCGACTGTATTTTATATGCAGCTGAATACATTCAAACAATTTTATCTACTAATTCTGTTCAATCATTGAATGAAACTTGTCAACCAAATAAAGATACTACTGATCAACTGGAAAATGAAGATACAAAAGAAATTTTGTTTAAATTATACAATAAATTAAATTCAGTTGATTGTATCATGAATAAATATGATCCGATACAATTAGATGATACTGATTATGAAGATGAAATTGATAATCCATTGAGTGAAAAAAGAATAATTGAACATAATGATAATTTATCAGATATTAGTGTACCTAATTATGAATTAGATATTGATGAAACAATGTCAATATCAGAACCAGAGGATACTGATCAAAATAATAATCAAAACAATAAATCAATAATAAGTGGTAAATCAGATAATATGAATAAATTAGAAAATATGGAAAGACTGGATAAAATATGGTCACAAATTAATACTTCTTATCTAAAATCATATGATCCAGCTTCAAATGAATGGAAAGAAATTTTAAGTATGTTCTCTTGATTGTTAAGAATATTAATGCTTCTTTTCTTTCTTTTTTTTCTTCTGATTTTGAATAGTCTATGTAGTTTTTACATGTATTCTCTTATTTACAAATTTGTAAATCAGTATGGGAATTCGTGGAGATTGTAGTATTCTCACAGATCATCATTGAAAACGTGGAAGCACTAGATGGCTGTTTTTATCCTAGTATGAGATTCCTCAGCGGTGCGTATCCACGAGGTGTAAATGTTCAAATGTTTACACAAGTTAAAATTTGTTTCATTTATCAATCCTACTGTCTTTAGAGATTTCACTGATTCCCGTTCATTATTATTATTTGATAAAATCTGATAGCTATAAAATAATTAAGATGATATAATTCCTTTCAACATTGTAGGTATATTTTACTAATAAGTTTTATCAATTATGTAAATAAGATTGATAAATATTTTACAAATAACATCCATTCACTTAATAGGATTTATTACAAAGGACTTTTGGGAATTGTTCACCTGGTTAGCGTTTTTTAACAAGTTAGTTTTCTACGGGATGGGGTTGCTAACCCCATACCTAACCCTCCTCCTTTATTCGGGCTTGGGACTAGCAGCAGCCCCAAAACGGTTCCAGGTGGAGTTGAATTATTCACCTAGCAGATTAAATATTGATGTGATAGATATATTAGATTTTGATTTGATTATGAACATCAACATAAGGGATGTATGAAAATCCAACTGGGAAACTTCAAATGAAAGACTATCCTAAAATATAGTTTAATTAATTCTATTTCACTTGGTAACACTTAATTTCATATGTTTATTAGTTAAGATCTTTTTGTTTTAGCTCAAAATGAAAATTTACGTTGCTTTGGTGTTGTACATCATCAGAATATTATCATATCTAATTGAATATTTTCTTCAGTGTTAATTATATACATAATATTGAAGTATATTGAGGACTCAGTAGCTAAGTGGGTAACGCAATGACGTCTGAAGCGAACGGTGCTGGTTTCAAGTCCCAGAGTGAACATCAACTTAGATGCAGGTACATCCAGCTGACGAGTTCCAAATAGGACGAATCGCGCGCCCTGGATTCCACTGCTAGCCACTATCCATCTTTGCTTATATTCAATTTGTATACACTTTTTTGTTTACAATACAATTTAGATTTGTAACATGGATCCTTAGATGATATATTTGTTTCAAAATCGTCTTTGATTTTTATAAATCCATGACTAAAAGGAGTTTGTAATGTGATATCTTCATATATTCGTAATAATAATCATTTCGAACGTATAAAGTCTGTTTATTTGTTTGTTTTTTACTCAAAATATCCAACTATAAAGGAGCTTTCACTTGAAATTAGATTTATTTTTATTTTTATTTATTTATTAGTGTAATATGATACATAATCTCAGAAAAATATAAATGTAAAGTCACAATTAGAGATTGGTAAAATATCATGAAAACACCTTCCTGTTAATGAATTATTTATAAAGATTAAAAAAACAAACAATCTATTTATTACGGTAGTTCATTTATTGAATAAAAGTTAAAATCAAATTATTGTTGTTCCTAAGGCCATGAGTTTTCTTGTTGTTGATATTCAATGAAGAATTTTGACCAGTCTTTGTTGACATATACGTGAATTACTTCAATACAGCTAATTTGTTAAAAGGTTTATAGAAAAAATGGATTTCGTTACATTTGAGACTTATCACCTGAAAGTGTAAGTGTTAATCTTCGCATTGGGACTTGAACCACTGAGCTACTAAGTTGAGGTAACCATCAAAGTGCTCATCACATTGTACCCATCAAACAAGCTAGTGGCTGTATAGACTCAATCGTTCATTTGATAACGAGTAGAAAGTTGAAGAGATTGATGCCGGATTTTCGCCAAAATGTAAATATCATCACTAACACATCTATCTGACGAATCCGAAGTAGGGTGAAATGTTTGTCATAGATTTCATTTCCAGCTGTAAAACATTTGATCTACAGAAAACAAATTATCATTTCAATCACATTCGTTACTCATTATCATTGAGAAGTAATAGTAAAGAAATATCCTTTAGTCTCGTTATAATGATAATATTGTGTTATTTGAACTGGTAGAGACTCAACTTCTGAAAATAATCGTTCGGTTTTGAATGGACGCTATAGAATCAACTATTTTACTAACAATTTTCTAATTATTTTCCCTGGCATTTTATCTTTAATAATAGTGTGTCTCATGGATGAAATTATTTCAATTAACATAAGATGAGGAATTCTTAGCTGCTAATTATTTCGAAACGAACTAATAATACAATCTTATCCTATTCATCCTGGGTTTGATCCTGTTTCCAAGCACGTGTGTACGTTACTGGAGACCAACAAACTTAGATTTGTAGTATAATTGAATGTCTTTTGGTAAACAAATGATCATGTGTTCTCTTAGTTAGATAGTTCGGTTTAGAAGCACAGCTGAAGTGTCTGAATACAGTTTGCATTCAGTGGTGTTATCCAGTACGACAATATTAACTTTTTAATCTTAAACATCTCAGTTTAAATAATGATAAAATTAAGATGAATTTATACACATACGAGTTACAAGAAAAACACTATTGATTTGATTACTGTTTTATATTGCAGATATTTTAGCAAAGAATCAAATAAATTGGAGTGAAAACCTAAAGAACAAATCAACTTATCTACATGATGGTTATTTAAAACCAGGCGATTTAAAATTTATTCCACCGCCATCAAAAAAAATCTTAACAAAGAAGGAATATATAAGTTCATTGAGAAGAAGAGAAAGTAGAAGTACAAGTCGTAATCGTAAATCAACTGACAATATTTCAGATAATATTAATGAAAGGTACCATAATTCAAATAATTTTCATGAATATTATTCAGTATATGATGACATATATATAAAGCGAAGCAGCTTGTCTATTTTTTGTACGGAAACCTGAAAAAGGTGTTTCATCTTTCTGTATAACTGTTTATTCAATGTATTAACATACATAAATAACGGTATCATCATTGATACCAACCATCCGTCAATATATAAATGAAAGAAACTGAACAAGACGATTAAAGAAACCCCGTGATTCATTATTAACATTTTAACCATTTGGTTGAAGTTGATAAGAAGTCATAGAGATAAGTTTCGTTGTTGGCATTGACAATGTTTACCCATCAGGTTCATTTCAATCCATCCATTCACAGAATCCACATTTCCTAACAACGAATAGTCAAATTCACTTGCCACTAATAGATAAATATAAGTGCTTTTATATAATGCTATAATGAACGAGAACACAAGTGCGGATAGCCAAATGTATTTTAATGCGACATTACAGAATATCTTGCTGAAATCTGAAAACCATACAGTAAATACTTTACTTGCAAAATATTCATCAATTGTCTCATATTTTATTTTTCCATGGTTTACATACCAATCACTCTCTGTTCTCGTCCTCTTCTTTTCGATTTTCTCAACCTTCTGCCTCCAGGCATTTCACTTTTGATTGATGATAATTACTACTTAAATCTGCTGACATAAGTAGCACACACCACAATACTAATCATGCAAAGTTATATCATGCAACAAGTCAAAGTTATTTATAATGGAAATTCTAGAAAAATCCAATTATATAAGTCATGTGTCTTCACTAGTTTGTCCGCAGTCAACACGGTTATTTCTTTAATGAATTAATCAGGTAATGGGACCAAGAGAAAACATGAAAAAATCCAATGATTATTTTTTCATCTAAAATACTGACTACTGACTGATTCAACCAAGTTGGAAGTAGGGATAGGTAACTCACTAACAATATTATCTGCTGGAAATTTTTCTAATAAATTCAATGCCATTAAAACATCGTCATCAATATTGTCGTATTGATTTCAGAAATTCACATTTAAGAATTCAATGCTCACAACTACTGAGCGGTTTTCAGTTAACGGGAAATAGTTTTTTTCTTTAAATTACTTAATTGATCCTTTAATTAATTTTATTTGATAACTTACAGACAAAATCAAACCTGAAGGTTACAACAGAAATTCGCCCTGTTTTGTTTGATAAGTTCTAACTAGTTTATCTTTCAAATTTGGAATCTAACAATTGTATGATCCTGAGTGCTGTTATAGATATGAGGGCAGTTATCACTCCCCGGTCGCCCAAGAGGTTTTTCTAAAGGTTCCTGTAAAGAAAATTGGGTTAGGATCGGTCTTAGTGACCTGAAAGCGTGACCACAGTACCTAAGGGGCAACTGTTTGAGGCCTGTCACACGTGAAATTTCAGTGGGTAATTTTTTGTGTCAGCCTCCTACTTGTTGAGACCTTAGATCCGGAAACGGATATCCGTGGGATAAGGTGAGTTGTGCAGTTTTAGTGTCAACCTTTTCTAACCCCACCCCTCCTTGTGGGAAGGCAACATCAATGTTGTGCTGGTTGTCTAAATAAAACAACTTACTGCTGTCACACCTCTGTATAGTCAGCAGTACGACTTCACCTTCGAACTTTGGGTTTGTTGCTTTTAGTCTTAACGTTCTTCAACCGACCTGTCTGGCATGTTAGGACCTTGAGAAACGATTGTTCCAGCCAATATAGCTCGATAGGCAAGCCCGACCATCACGTCAAGGTAGCAGCAACGGTCGGAAATTGTATGAATATATTCATGGTGTAATCTGACAGCTTGTCAACTATTTTAGATCTTTAAAACATGTTAAACAGCTACATAATAGGGTATTTACTATTTCCTAGTTTTAAGAATTCTCCAAATAATTTTAATGTGTCGATCAGTTACACACCTCTTTTGTCAGCTTAATAATTTATGCTTTGATTTAATTTAATCTTTTTTTCAATCTATCAATATTTTCAGATCCAAATCAGTTGGAGTTCAAACTCGTAGTAGCTCATGTGTTAGCCAGTCAAAAAGTAAACAGTTACGTTTTGAACAATAAAAATATGTTATTCAGTACAAGATATATATATGACAGAATGACTATATTTTTAGTTTTCAATTGAGAGAATATGAGAATATTATGTAATATTTAATGCTCATAAACATGAGATTGATTACTACCAGTTTTTAATGACTGTTTACTGATTTAAGTAGTATGTAATTTAAAAAATTCTATTTCAGTATGATAAATAAATTTTGGAAAGGTTGTTTGTTTGTTATCTGACAAAATAATGTCTTTGTCTAAAAGTTTTCCTAAGAAGTTAAATAACTTAATGTACCCAAAAATCCATAGAAACGATTAGATTTGATAAATAGCTAACTTGAGAAGTTCAGATCAAATAGTGGTATTTTTTTCACCGCCGTATTAACTTCTGTTAATAGATAAACAAAAACTGGAGAATTATTTATACTACAAAATTATAAACTACAGATACATACGTTTTGTTTCATAATTTTGTATCTTGTCATCATCTCGAAAATAGAAATTACAATGGTGTATTTGAAGCACAATTCGTCTAGAGCCGTTGTATGGTTATTTCTAGTCCCGTGCTTGGATAAAGGAAAAGGGTTAGGCATGAAGTTAGCAACCCCATCCACGAAATTGAAGTGAGACATTAACACCGTTGAATGTCGGCTCAGTGGTCTAGTTGGTTAAGCGCCTGCCACGAGATTCATAGGTCCTGGGCTCGAATCCCGTGAGGCGGGGTCGTGGATGGGCACTGCTGAGGAGTCCCACAACAGAACAAAACGGCCGTCCAGTTCTTTCAGGTTTTCCATGGTGGTCTAGCTTCAATTGATTCATGATCTCAACTGTTTAAATTCCAATCATTTTCAAAAACTATCTTTCATATGACGTAATTATTTCCAATACCGTAATTTCATTAAGCTTAGATTTTACTTTTAATAATTAGTGGTTTAGTTTATTACTTTTATCATCTTAATGTAATTATCATCAATATTTTATTTAGTTTAAGAGTGTTCTCAACTGAGAAGATGAAAGTTTTATTGAATCGATTTACTTGTTCTACAACTTAATGAGAAGTTTCAATAATTTATACTATTTTTCTGAGTATTTTAAGTAAAACATTAAAGATGTTTATTGTATATATCATAAGTACAATTACACAATTTTCTCCTAAGTTCAATTCTTATTGTATATGTTAATAGTACATGATGAAAGAAAAGAATTTATGTTTAGCTATAATTAGTTAGAAAGCTATAAATTTCTGGTGATATTTTTCGATGGAACAATCTATATACTTCAAATCATAATACTAGGTAATAAGATGGCGAGACTATAATTTATGAACGAATCAATCATGTATAAGATAACAGGTTTCGGATTTTAGCGTAAAATTCACTCATCAATTTGGCTAAATAGAGTTTCGGCATTATAGCTGATGTCAGTTCGTGATGAAAACTGATAAATCTTGCAAATTGAACGCTATATTCGTTTCCTAAGCTATTCTGTAACCCCCAAGCTAGAACTATACAGCAACCTGAACACGAGAGAGAAGGCGTAAAGTATGCGAGAAGTACTTTACACCAAAGGTTCATTTTAATACAGAAAATATAGGATTTTTATAATATAGATTCTGGAATGCTACTAAACAGTATGGCACTCAGCCAATCAGAACCTCTACACGTGACGTTTCACCTCCTTGATGTTTCTGGCTAAAACTTCAAGTGAACGCTGATTGGATGAAATGCTTCTTAGAGTTTTCTGATCCTTGCTCGTCTTTTGTGAGCAATTTTCTGGATCACCCCAACAAAAACCCTAAATATAATTTCTAACCTTAATCATCAACTGTAAATCACAATTCAAATTCCTTATACAGGTTTATAACCCTCATTTGGTCCTTGTTATTAGATGAACACTCTCAAGGTCAGTCTAGCGTCGCTCAAAGGTCGTCCATAAATTATAGTCTCACCAATAAGATAACTATTTATATATGTTTCATTGTTCTGTTTTTCTTCATACAAGAAATGGAAAAATCATTGCGAAACATTATCATTCTCCCTATGATTCACTGAGAGTTACTTTGTTTCACAGAGTGGTCAGCCGAAACTCGTCAACAATTTATGAAGATACTGAAAAAAAGATCATACAAGTTTGGTGCAAACTTATAATGGGTGTCTCATTTATTGGATCACATTGTATCAGTTGTTAGAGATCTTAAGTAACATTGTTAAATATTGGTCTTACTCATGAAATATTAGTTAGTGTTCAATGTGGTTTTGTTTCATTCATCCTTATTATTTCTAACGACATTTGCATAGCGCTTATTTGCTTTAGCTTTTTTTGTACCAATATTTGTGTTTAAATCAATCAAATTCATTTACTGTTGAATTATTTTTCAATACAAATCATTCTTTTATGCTTCATGTAAACTCATGAAGTGAAATGACAGACTATTTATATTGTATTTGATGATTACAACCTATCACTTTATAAGGTACAAAAAAGTACAATCAGAGACATCGTGGTGGCTGGCAATATACATTGAAAAGAATGTACATTATTCAGATATCGATTTCTGAACTGCCGACCGATAATTGACAAGGTGGACTATCTTTAATTACTACTAGGTCAAAACATATATCGTAATTGTTGTGTAATCACAATTTAAGAATCTTGGTTGACGTTGTACAGTATCACGATGATATTTCAATATCTATCATTAGGATCAATCAGGTAATGAAAAGATGTGGTGGCGATGTAGCTACATTTGTAGACGTGAACTGGTGTCGATCTACTTTTGCAAATGACTTTATTGACTATCTAACTTCAATATACCGTCAAAAACACTTATATAAATACAATCACGTTTATGTTACCAACATCTACCTGACTCCGGACTGCACGTCATCTACACTGTCCGCCTTCGTAGATAAATTCATTGAATATCCTGTTACTTTCTTTCATCACTAGGTCACCAAAATGAATTCGATTTTCCTAATTGCACATAGACTTAGTTTTCATTAATTGTGTGTGAATATATGTGACTCCATCGTCTAGTTCTGATCATTGTATAATTCGTCCTCAATCCAAAGTATGTGGCAAGCTTGGAAGGAGTAAACTCTTACATCAGACTAAGAAAGTCGAGTTCACGATTTACTCAAAAGAAAATTTCCCGAATCTGGAAACAACATTTCTCTCACGACTTACTGGGAATTGTTAACTGACGACTCATTGGAAAACAGTGTTGATGTTATCACATGTTATCTTAAATTCTCTTTTGATATTTGCTGTTCAACTGAAACCATTTTTGTAAGATTTATTCGACTTACACCTCCACAAATAAGATGATTACGGAGGTTAAAAGATAGAATGTACAAGGAGAAAAACTTCATTAGATTTCAAAAGCTGAATAGTTTAATAAAACTAGGGATTAGACGTCTGAACTCACTGTTTGCTCAGAAACTCCTATCTTGTCAAATAACTTCAGGTATGTGAAAACTATTTAAAGAACTTACGGGTGACAGGCACATTAGAAGTGATAACCAGCTGAACATTTGCTACTTAATTAAGTATTTTGTACGTCAGTCATCTGATATAATGCTTTCCATATTTACAGGTCTGAGGAACAGTTGTGTTCCAATTTTCACTGAAGCAGATGTCCGAAAATGTTTCCAGTCAATTAACTTGTCCTAATGTTTAGGACTTGATGAAATCCATTAACTCCTTTTTAAGAAGTGTGCTTACTTTCTGTGTTATTTATTTACGAGCATCTTTAGCAGATCTTTCTCAAGTAATTTCATACTGAAAATGTGGAAAAAATAAAGATCATCACAACACCTAAAAAAGTACCTGGAGATAAGAGTGTGAAATCTAGATCTAGAGCAATAACTTCACCTTTTCTCAAAAGAATGAAAAAAATTATTGCTACTCCCACATTAACCTGCGCTAAAAGAACACACCGGTCCGTATCAGTTTGCTTGCATTTACGAATGAAGCACCTTAGATGCTGTTGTTGTTGTGAATCATAATATAGTGTTCAGCTTGAAAAAGGGCAAACCGTATGTTCGATGCGCTTTTCTGGACTGTACTTCTGCCTTCGACTTTATTTCAAGACAACTTCTACTTAACAAGTTAATCAGCGTCAACATCGATGGCTGGATAAGCAAATAGTTATGTTCCTACCTCTCTATGAGAGAAAAGTACATTGTGTTTAGAGGAAAGTGTTCGACGTCTCTACTGTTTCATGGAGGTGTGCCACAAGGAGCTGTTCACTTCCCTCTTCTATTCTCTTTTTTTCTGCATGATCTGCCATCTTCCACAGAAAACTATTTTATTAAATATACAGACGATCCCATTGTATCTATGTTGGTCTCTGTCTCTTCACATTCCCTTGTAATGAGTGAATTTTCTTACACTTAACTCGTCTAAATGTCAAACTGTTAACTTCGGCCTGGGACATGAAGAGAACCTAAACACCAGTTGAAATTCCACAAAATTTGTACTATTGAAGATTCTTTTATAAACACAGTGCCATTTATCTTGATGTAAGTTTTTATTCTGATCTCTATTGGCCTTTTCATGTTTATTGTTATTGAAGGAAGTTTTCCTTCTGACTTACTACATAAAGAGTCTGCGTGCTTTTGGAGTTAACCATCCCCTTCATTCATATCTTTCTTCTTGTATATCTTCTGGTAGAACGAGACGTCAATACATTAGAATCAATGCACGCAAATAAAAGTCTAAAAGCTAGAAAATACCTTATCTAGCAAATCTACAATGTGACGAACAGATTGTCAGAGTTGACCTAGTCAATAACTTGTATTCTTAAACATGTTTCGAATTAAAAAGTTGTATCCATTTAAATCTTCATAAAAGTCATTTCATCTAATTCTAGGTCGTTTATCTATCTAACTTATATATATATATATATATATATATATATATATATATATATATATATATATATATATATACATATATATATATATGCAGATATCTGTTCCTTCCACGTTTTTGTTCTTTTTGTAAAAGAAACTTGTTGAAATACTTTGTGCTGAGAATTGTATACTGTACCAAAATTTTAATATTGAACAAAGTCATTAATAATAACTTTCTATTGTACGTAAGATGATAGAAGCCTAGAGATGTTAATTGAACATTAACTATTAACAAGTCAGAAGCCGATGTTTATCAATTGTTGCTTAGTTCATTAAGCTCATAGTAACTTGTTAAGATAACTGCTATTCTAAACTATACTAATCTCTCCACATAGTAGATAAATGTTATTTATTAAACAGACAATCATAGAAATAATCACAAGTCATTCATTACAAGTAATTGATGAAATTATTTACTAAACATCTGATCTTCAAATACTCTGAATTGTTATATGTATCAATTTGGTTCTTGAACTATGTATACTTTCTACATATAGCTGAAATCAATAAATGAATTCTTTACTCACACAAAAGGTATATATATATATAATTTATGACGTTGATGTAATTTGTAACATTATGTCACCAGAAAGATTCCTACTCAACTGTCTGATTATAAATTTCAGTGTGCACATTTCGATACATGCTCTCACATTTGTTTACCCCCACATTTTTATTTATTCTACGATTATTATTATCATTAAAACTGTCATTGTTTTTGTTTTGTCAATCTCAACTTCGGAAAATAGCTCATTCAAGTATAATGAGTGTATTTATCAAATTGACATTCTGTATATAATTGATTAAATTTTTAATTAAAATCATGAACTGATCAATGTTAGACCATCACTGAAAACTTGGAATTACTGGACGATTGTTCTGTTTTAATATGGGACTTCCAGGCAATACGGGTCTACGACCCGGTAAGCGGGACTCTATCCCCAGACCCTCGGTCTCGTGCACGAAGGCCAAACTTTTAAATTACTGAGTCGACATCCAACGGTGTTAAAATGTAACGTCAACCAATCCACGATATTGTGGATGCGTGCCATTGAAGAATCTTATACTAGGACGAAACGGCCGTCCACTGCTTCCAGGTTTTCAGTAGTGGTTTATCACTGATCGGTTCATGACTTAAATGATACTTAACAATCTTTACAATCGAATACTGTAAATAATTAAACTGTCTTTGACAGTCAATATTAATAAAACCAAATCAACTGTAAGTGAAAACATAAGCCCGAAATCCTTCTTGTATTTCAACAAACTGATTAAAAGGTTGATTAATCTAACGACTTTTGTGAATATATTTTATTGAGCACAATGCATGCAAAATGAAGGAAATTTAAAACAAAAGTAATTTTAATACTTATTTACTGAAATAAATTAAGTACAAAAGATTTTTTATCAGTGAGTGTTTTTCATCAAGAAACTTGGGTTCACGATTCCAAGTCAAGTAAGATGTCAATGACCAAGTTTAAACGTATTATCTTTAGTAAGACGGACATGAATCAAGTGACAACTGGTGACTGGAGTTAGTTAATCAATGATTAGTGTTTTCTCCATATATATATATATATATATATATATATATATATATATATATATATATATATCCTGTTCGGTCAGAACCTTAAGTCGTTTTATGTTTACAATGTATCTGTGCGAATCTATTCATTGAAGAACAGAATTTACTAGTTAACATAAAGATTATTCATACTTCTACTTGCATATATATTTGTATATAACCTGGCAGTTACTATGGCAACTTAACAAACAATCTGTTTAAAAGAAATCACTTAATCCTTAAATTCGTTTCTGATTTTTGTAATTTTGCTTTGTTTACCTTTATTTAACTAACATGACTTCATAATTACAGGTTAGATATTCAGAAAATGTTTCATTAGCCAAATTATTCATAGTTCAATAGAGAAACAAATAGGTAGAGTAAAAAAAAACATCTCACAATCTCACGAGCACAACCAATTGATTGTCTTTGTTCAATATTTCAGTTCAATACACTATATCGCTGTGATTGGTTAGCTTTTTCCATCGACATGAGCAACAATTGTGCACACGTGTGTGTGTGTGTGTGTTTGTAAGTGTGCTTATGTTGTCCCAACTTATTTATTTCTAATTAATCGAATAAGTAGTATCTTTCAGTCTACTGGTCTATAAGAATATTTCAGTTTTTTCCACCACAAACATAAAAATGATCATTTCGAATTAAAACTGGACACATTAAATAAGTATAATTTACTATTAACATGAGTTCAAAGCATCTTCAATAAATCTAGACAATAAAATCTAAGTACTTTTCCAAGAAGAAAGTAGTAAGTTATCACATAGTTTCTATTATTTAAAATATTTTTACACTTTTTTTTCTCCATAGAATTACTCAAATAAAATATTCATTGTTCAATAAAGTATAGAGATGATTTTAATCCGTAGTGTTTCTTGTCTTTTAAGTTTACTCATATCTATAGCAGAAAGATATTCTGTCCCTAAACAGATCGAAAGACCAGAGGAACTTAGACCAAAAAATTAGTTAATAGAAAACGTTCATGGTAGGAATTTGATTTATGTTATTGTATATTGGTGTATATTAACATTTACATTGATTACAAATGCTAATCATCTGAGATTGTTTTTATTTCGTTGGCATATCTATTATTGTACTTCATGGTTGAGTAGACTAAATTTCTTTAAGGTTTTGGTAAGTTAGATAGTTGTCTGATTTATGGGACATTTGTCACTAAACAGTTATTAATATATGAGTTATAAATGTTTTAAGAGCACAAAGAGTGGATATTGGTAGACTACATGAAGCTGAATCCAGTTATTGAGTTGAAGTTATTTCAAGGTAGTTAGCTGATAAATATTCATGTTTTTATTGGATTTGGGTTTCATCTATTAAGTGTACCTGCATCTAAGTTAGTGCTAGTATTCCTTTTTCATAAGGTTCTAATACCACAACTTTGAATACAAAACTCATCTACGTCAAAAATCAGGACCTGGAATTTCTCACTAGTGATATATATATAATAGTACATATTGTGGGATTGTTTTGAGTAACTTGTATCAAAGACTGTTCGTTTAAATTTTGTTTATTATCAGTACATACGTTGTTAGACTTAGTCACACAAATAGTATAAAATTGTTTACAAGATCATCTCATGGAAACTAAATAACTTTATTCAATGAATAAATATTAAAAAATCTTTAGTGGAAATACTTGAAATTTCGGCATAATAGACTGATTTACTTTTTAGTCAAAAAAGTCATATATGATAGATGATAAAATAGTTTTGTAAACAAAGTGATTGATCTCAGTATTCATTGATCCACAGTGATCTTCAAACAACATTATAGTCCGTTTTTAGGAAATGTTAATCTGTAGATTATAAATGAAAAAAACGAATTAAATAACATTCAACTGTAGTGTGGAAAGCACTGAACAATGGTCACAATTGAAGTGTATGTTTTCAGTTTAAAAATAAAAAAAATTCCATAGTTAGTTCTTAACACTGAATTAGGGGAATATATTGTAACGCTCTGTTGAAGTTGTTATGTACTAGGGTTGAAGCTGTCACGAGCTCACTTAATCTGCGAACGAGAAACAAGACTCGGTGACCAAAGACCAGCAAGCTATTGATACGTCCCAGCCCCGCTATCTAGCGGGAGAAGTCCAACCTTGGAATGAGGAAGTATATTCTGCAAAACAGCCAGAAACGAGCGATAACAACAAACACAATTCAAAACGTATATATACAGTGCAAAACCGTCCTTGGGGAGAGTTACCAAATTGCATACTAAAAGACACAACGGACCAATAGCATTCAAGATATTTCCCAGTGGGGAATACGACATAAAGGTGATAAGAGCGCCTTCGGCGCGAAAATAAAGAAATTCAAATTTTCTAAATAAAATTACAAAATTAGGTCCTTTCCCAAGTGATTTCTGGGGATCTAAGGTCTCCAACATTATGCTAGTCTAATTAGACAGGCCAAATGATAAGCGCATAACAAGATTAAGATTTGAATTGACTTTTTTAAGAAAGATACATATACTAATCGTTAAAAGTGTGTCCTTCAGTTCTAAAGCAAAAAGCTATATCTTTAATAATGAATGTATACCTACTCTTAATTTGATTTTAGTCAATGAAGCTTTCTTCTCACTTTCGGCCTCCGTACTCACGTATCTACTCCGGGTTGTAATAGTAGCAGTAAGAGACTCGAATGATCACAAAAATTTCTCTTGTTTGCTACTGAGCTTATTAATTTTGTAGCTAAGTTGTAGAAACTGTTTAAAAAAATAAAATCGTTTACTCTCCCGCATCTATTTTCAAGGATTTTCGAAGTTATGATGAAAAATCGTCATCGGTCGGAGTGTGATATATATATATATATATATATATATATATATATATATATATATATATCATTTATGGTATTAAGTGATAGTTTTGTTATATCGCAAAATAACCAACATTAAAGAAATAAGCCACTGGCTAATTAATGCCATGTTATCTTGGAAACTAAAAGACCAGTTTGATCGACTGTATTATCGTGGGTTCATTATTAATAACATGTTAATCATAAACCGGAACAAAATACTTTATTTCTGCTTATTTATATTCAACAGTTCTTCAGCTGATATTGGTAACCTTAAGTTCAATGATCTTAACAAATGCACTGTATTAGTTAATTCATGTAAATTATTGTAGTTAAAGCCCTTAAAATTTGGTGGAAAAGAGCTATTCTTTCTAACAGTTAACAAAATAACAATATAAAATGTTGACTAGCTATTCCGGTAGATGATGTTACAAAAGGTGAATTAATGCTGTTTGTTAAGTAAATCTTGGAAGATTATATGCAATCAAAAAGCTCAAGTTTACAAAGCATTTTGAAATCTACATCAAATTACTCTTTTTGCTTTATCCGTCGATACTATTAAGAATATGGCCAATATTATAATCTGAATGTGTAGATTAGACGGTCATATAATTTTAAGCTTTTTCTTAATTGGATTCTTTACAAAAATGTCTGAACTTGAAATAAACTAAAGTCATGGAGCTTTTAAACTGTATTCTTAGTTTTTTAAATGCTTTACAATCATTTACATATGACGTTGGCCAGAATAATAATTTTTTTAGTTTATCCTACGGTAGGGATCACGAAGTTAAAATCAATATGGATTTCGAAGAGAAACTGCGATGATACTTTTCAAAATTTATCATATACTCAGCTAGTAAAAAGCATCACAATGTTACCGACATCCCATTAATAAACAGAATACAAATTTTAATAGTGAAATTCATGACTTTATTTAAGCTAGACCACCATTGAATACCTGGAAGCACTGGGCGACCGTTTCGTTCTAGTATGCAGCTCTTCAGCAAGGGGTATCCATAATCCTGCACGTGGAACTCGAATCCAGGATATTTGGTCTCGCGCACGAGTCCTGAGTGAGATATCGTGGATGCGCACTACTGAGGTGTTACATACTAGGACTAAAAGACCGTCCAGTGCTTTCAGTTTTCTAATGATGGTCTAGCTTAAATTGACTCATGAGTTCAACTATTAAAATTATAACGATCTCTACAAATCCTCCAGCTGTTACACTAATGATTAAATTCTTAAAACTTTATTTGACAATTGTTAGTTGAATATAAATATATTTCATTGGGGTTATCTTTAGTTAGATTTGAACCCGTTACTTATCACTGCAAATGTTAATATGTTATTAAGTAGATCACTGGATAACAATGAATAGCTTATCATTCTAAAACAGATAAACAGTATACGATCATGACATTTCTATAGAAAGGATTCATGAATACTGTTGAATTTCTTTATAGATGTATATATCATACGATTTTCATCTTGTATGTGTTTAAGTAATTTAATCTAAAGCTTAATTAACAAAGTAAAGTTCTGTAAAACTATTAAGTCCTCTATAAATAAATGAATAATATATTTGTAATATCCCAATGAGTAGAAAAATTAGATTTTCTGACGCTTCATGACTTAGTGTAAACCACTTCTTCATGGAATAAATAATCAAATCAAAATTCATTGAATCCTCCATTGTTTAGACAAGTGTATAATGGATAATAATTGTTAGTCTACATATGATTAAAAAAGAACCCATTCGAAGTTTTGTTTGATAATTATGCTATTAAATGTTTATTGTTTTTATATATTTAGTGTTATCACTGCGATATTATTTGAGCTACATTTCAAATGAAGTTTCTCAAACCAGTACTTACAATCCTTGCCTCTTAGATGGTTCAAGATGTTTATTCTATTGTTAAATGAAACATTACTTTTTCCTTGATATAATAATTTAGGAAATAACAACGACCAACAAAACCGTTGTAAAATAGGTTGAATTTAACACCAACTTTGTATTAGTATAGAACTAATCAAAAGTATGGATTTATAATTTTACACAGAATCAAACACTGAAGCAAATCTGGAAATTTATTGTTTAATTAAAATTAGTTCTTAGAAGAAACTATTAATATTAAGATGATTATTGTTTAAAATTAGGGTACTATAAGTCCGAAAAAAACTGCTAAACAAAATGTTTATGTTAATTTAGTGACAATATCCATTTCTATTGACTTGGTTACCGTCACTAACATTTAAAAAAGGTTTTTTTGTTTTCAGAAATATCGCCACTAAGACACATAGATAGTTATGAAATAAATTAACATATTTAAACTAATTTATTTTTTTTATATAAACTATGAGAACAGAATCGTATGTGAACAAGAGTTTAAAACTGACTATAATTTATTATCAGAAGGGGGTTTTGAAGATTTTAGTAATGTCAGTAGTTGAAATTATGAGTCAGTTGAGGCTAGACCATCATGAAAAACGTGGAAGCACTGGATGGCTGCTTCTTCCTAGTATGGGACTCATCAGCAGTGCGCATCCGCGACCCCGCCTCGCGAGATTCAACCCAGGACCTATCAGTCTCGCGCCAGGCGTTTAACTATCAGATCACTGAGCCGCCATCCAACGGTGTTAATGTCTAACTTCAACCAATCCATGAATCTCTTGGGGGCGGGATCGTGGATGCACACGGCTGAGGAACCTCATACTGGGACGAAACGGGCCGTCCAGTGCTTCCAGGTTTTGAATGGTGGTCTAGCTTCAATTGACTTATGATTTCAAGTACTATAATCCATTACCCTAGCAAACTAGCTACGTTGAACTCAGTAACATCACTTTGAAAGAACACAGTTTAGCGAACAGTGAGTAATGATCTTGCTAATGAAGTTAATTTTAGTATATGTTTTAAAATATAATCTAGTTTGTAACAAAACTTTTATATGAATGAAATTTACTAAAGTATTCTTGGGTGGTTGAAAAAACCAAAAGCTGTTTGTGGGAATGGGAAATAACTGAATTTTAAACAGTTTTATGGTTGATTCTGAACTTCTGTTTCTAGCTTTATAGTTTTACTTCAGACATTATTTAACAACAAAGTGGAAAATGTTAAGCAGAGATAGGTGGTAGCTAAAAGTGGAATCCAGAACAGCCCTTTCGTCTAAGTTGGGCTTCGTCAGCTGGATCTGTTTGAGTCCGGTTTTATGTTCACTCTGGGACTCGAACCCTGTAACGTTCGCTTCAAACATCAATGCGTTATTCAATTGGCTACTGAGTCTGGGTAGCCACTGGTTTATGAAATGGATGACATTTAATTCATCCTTGCAAAGGTTTTTTGAATCTTTGTTCTGATGTTTGCTACTGTAATTGATCAATCTCTTTTTTGGCATATGTGTACCTGTGTGAACTGCCTCTATATTGCCAGAAAGTCACAATCACTTTAAGCAGAGATGAATGGTGGCTAGAAGTAGAATTCAGAACGCACGCTTCATCCTATTTTGGATTCGTCAGCTGGATGTAGTTACATTATCTCGGGGTCGATGTTCACTCTGGTACTCGATCCCATGATGTACATTTGTCAAAAGTGAATAATCGATTTCAAATCTTAACATCAAATGTAAGATCTATACAATCAGTATCCATAAATTAAAAAGTAAAGGATTTCTTCATTTTTAAGTAACTTACTAAATTTCTTTTCTTCTATATCTAAATAAGATTTATTTCGTTCATCGTTGAATTTTTGGATCAAAATGACTATGACCAAATAATGTCGGTAATATTAATGAACAATTTCCTATCATCATGAATTTAATTGTTGTCCATTTTAATTATGAAACAAACAGTCATCACGTTGTTATTCATGTAGATATACTTCGTAAATATTCCACTTTCTTACCTAAAAATATTGAAAATAATTATAATTCTATTGCATAATTATTGTCTTTTATTTTAGCATCATGTCAGAATTACAAGCGACTGATGTAAGTTTTTTCCTTCTTGAACAAATTTCCATTTACAAAACAAATTGATTTCATACTTCATTGTATTAAGAAGTAATTTATGTTCTATCAGACTCAGGCATCTGTAAATTGACATAACTATTCATAAAGAAACTCAAACCTAGTTATTGTAGCTTCACATTTCAATGTATCGTTCATTAGACTAGTAAATATAGCTGGTGAATAGTACATGATTTTTTAGAATGAGGTTTTAGTGGCCCAGGATCTGACTCTAAGTAGATCACATGAAGGATTGTTATTGAATGATTGCTGTGGAAATGTATATGTCTCCTATCCTCGTATATAATCATCGACTTAAATCGCGTTAGTCAATAACGGAATTAAATAAGTCGAATACGAGAATGAATTTCGAATACATATATTTCATATAATTTTTGACCCAGACAAAATATCGGAGAAGTGAACAGAAAAGAGCGAAGCTAAACAACGCGCAGTGGAGATGGCGGGTAAGGTAACTCCATTTGGTCAAGCGTTACTCAATATTTATAGTCACACAAAATTAAGCTACAGACATTTAATGGTTGGGATAAGTAGGGCACACACATATGCAATCATATAAAAACAGTTAAGGTTGATAAGCGAATAATTAACACGGTCACAGTACAACTCAAGTAGAATGAATAGATTGGCTTATCCGAAAGCTAGAATAAAATATATGGGCTTAACATGTCAACCGACACTAAAAGGTATTAACTAGAGAACAGTTTAAGTAAATGAAATCTTGGCAAATAATTTAAGGGGGTCATCTCACAAAATAAGTTTGTACTGAATAAACAAACTTCATCCTAATTTATTTCCAAAAACAACTACTTTTATATACCACTATGAACTTGAATCCAGGAACAAAATCATTCTAATAGTGAACACGAAACAATTTAATCACGAAATTCAAATCTAATGGTTTACATTTTCCAACTTCACTCTATTTGTGAAATAACGACTTACTTACTTACTTACTTACGCCTGTTACTCCTCGAAAAGGAGCATAGGCCGCTCACCAGCATTCTCCATCCAACCCTGTCCTGGGCAATCCTTTCCAGCTCCGTCCAGTTCCTATTGATCCTTTTCATATCTGCTTCTATTATCCGACGCAATGTGTTCTTTGGCCTTCCTCTTTTCCGTTTCCCTTCAGGATTCCAAGTTAGGGCTTGCCTCGTGATGCAGTTTGATGATTTGCGTAATGTATGTCCTATCCATTTCCATCGTCTTTTCCTAATTTCTTCTTCATCTGAAAGCTGATTTGTTCTCTCTCACAAAAGGCTATTGTTGATGGTATCCGGTCAATGGATGTTGAGTATCTTGCGAAGACAGCTATTTATAAATACTTGTACCTTCTTGATGATGGTTGTTGTAATTCTCCAAGTTTTAGCTCCGTACAGTAGAACTGCCTTGACATTCGTATTGAAGATTCTCGCTTTGATATTGGTTGAACGTTGTTTTGAGTTCCATATGTTCTTCAATTGTAGGAATGCGACCCTTGCTTTGCAAATCCTTGCCTTTACGTCTGCATCTGAACCTCCTTGTTTATCGATGATGGTTCTCAGGTATGTGAAGGATTCTAAATCTTCCAGAGTTTCGCCATCAAGAGTGATTGGATTACTGTTCTCCGCTTTGAATTTGAGGACCTTGGTTTTCCCTTTGTGTATACTGAGGCCTACTGACGCAGAGACTGCTGCTACACTGGCTGTCTTCATCTGCATCTGTTCGTGTGTATGCGATAGGAGGGCTAGGTCATCTGCGAAGTCCAAATCGTTTAATTCGTTCTGAGCTGTCCATTGTATTCCGTGTTTTCTTTCAGATGTCGAGGTCTTCATAATCCAGTCGACCACCAGAAGAAAGAGGAAGGGAGAGAGTAAACAGCCTTGTCTGACTCCGGTCCTTACTTGGAATGCATCTGTCAGCTGTCCTCCATGCACGACCTTGCACTGAAGTCCGTCGTATGAGTTCCGGATAATATTGACAATCTTCTCAGGAACTCCATAGTATCGAAGAAGTTTCCATAATGTCCTCCTATCCACACTGTCGAATGCCTTTTCATAGTCAATGAGGTTGATGTATAGTGACGAGTTCCACTCAACTGATTGTTCGACGATGATCCGTAGTGTTGCAATTTGGTCTGTGCACGATCGATCCTTACGGAATCCAGCTTGTTGATCTCGAAGTTGAACGTCTACTACATCCTTCATCCGGTTCAGGAACACTCTGTTAAAGACTTTCCCTGGTATTGACAGCAGTGTAATGCATCTGTAGTTTTCACATTTGCTCAGATCTCCTTTCTTTGGAATCTTGACGAGGTGCCCTTCTTTCCAGTCCATCGGGACTTGTTCCTCCTCCCAAATCTTTTTGAATAGAAGGTAAAGCATGTTTGTAGTTACTTCGATGTCTGACTTCAGTGCTTCAGCTGGTACTTTGTCCGGTCCCGCTGCTTTCCCGTTCTTGATTTGTCTGACGGCCATTCTAATTTCTTCCTTCGTCGGTGGGTTGACGTCTATGGGAAGATCTGTGTGTGCCGCTTCGATGTCCGGTGGATTGATTGGAGCCGGCCTATTCAGGAGTCCCTCGAAGTATTCTACCCGTCTGTTCAGCTGTTGTTGAATTTCAGTGATTGGCTTGCCTTCTTTGTGTTTGACCGGTCTCTCTGGTTTACTATATTTCCCTGCTAGTTTCTTCGTTGTATCGTAAATTTGTTTCATATTTCCTTCCCTAGCTGCTTTTTCCGCCGTCGTTGCTAGTTGTTCCACGTATTTCTGCTTGTCAGCTCTAATGCTCCTCTTCACTTGCTTGTTTGCTTCTATGTATTCAGCTTGTGCTTGAACTTTCTCTGTTCGTGTTCGGCTGTTGTTAATTGCTGTCTTCTTGTTCTTTCTTTCTTTGATCTTGTCCAGTGTTTCTATAGAGATCCATTCCTTATGATGATGCTTCTTTGGACAGCATTAGAGCGACTCCCTGAGTGTGTGGAGCCTTGTCCTCTTCGTGACCGGAGTATAGCAGCATTTCCATCAATAGCAGCATCTCTCCCGTATTTAGCCATTGTTGTCCAGCTTGGGTCCAGTGGGTTTCGCTGATTCCCAGTACTGCCAAATTGTATCTCCTCATTTCCGTTGCTATTTGACTGGTCTTCCCCGTTTCCCACATTGTTCGCACGTTCCATGTACCTACAAAAATTTTTGCTCTGGTTGTTAGAAGGGGCATAGGCCTCGTGGCTTCCGAAGGAACTCGGCTTTCACCATGAAGCGTCATAATTCTTCTAACTGCAGACCTTCTAATTTCCAGGGCAGAGTTAAAATGGTTTGAATTATTTTTTCTGGTAAGCGTTTTTTTAGCGAGTTAGTTTTCTACGGGATGGGGACGCTAACCCCATGCCCAACCTTCCTCCTTTACCCGGGTTTGGGACCGGCGGCAGTAACTCTAGAAGAGCTACAGGTGGAGTTGAAATAACGACTATCAAATGACTTTTCAATGAATTAGGTAAACAAAATGAGCTGAATCATTTACATTCAACAAATTTGTTTATTTTCTGTTTCTTTAATTCATTGTTTATTGTAAACTCTATTTACTAAAGTTTCAAATCATTATTGTACTAAGTTTAAAATACTTATGGATTTGAAGAGCAATTTTTACATGACACTCTGCCTTTCATCTCATAGATTCAATACTATTTTGTATTTGATGGTATGAAATGAATCATCAAACGGGTTTCTTAAATATAATGCATTTAATTTATTAACGTTCAGTAAAATTATAAAACTGACCGAATTTATAATGAAGTACAAAAATGTGTGTAACATAATTGGCAGATAGTGAAAATGGCACACTTATCATTGATTTGTATAGAAACCCTAAGAAAATTAGCATATCGTCAAATCAATTTAACATATTTTTTTTTAGTAAATAAAGATGCTATTACATTGCATTAGTAACGAAAATATAAGAAACTAGTTAAGATTAAAAAATTTGTAATAATTAAAACTATTTAAAACTAAAATGCTTTATGTCTAATCTTAAATTGAATCGGGAACCTATGTCTGTTGTAGTAGTAATTTACATAAAGGTAAAAGGTACTACAAATTCACAAAGTATCTAGCCATCATAAGCTAAGAAAAGATAAATTGCTCTGTAACTAGTTGCTCGGTTCAAGTTAAATTTTTGAAGGTCCAATGAATATCAGCAAAATGGGCCTAATTTAGATGGAGTCTTATGAATTTCATTAAATTAAAGGCATTAATTCGCTTGCTCTAATCTATTTCTGTTTGAAGAATATTCAATTCTTATAAGAGTTTGTCATGTTTGTATAAATTGCTTCTCAAATATCTTTACTATTTAATAATAAGGTAGTCATACAACTGAGGCTAGACCATATTAAAATGCTATGATGATGTAGATTTTCAAAGGTTTTGTGTTAGTGAAATAAGTTCCATGTATTAGAACTGAATACCTAGTTTCGAGTTTCATAATAAGAAAACAATAATAAAAAGGAAGCTTTTCCTTCAACAATTCCAGAAAAAGTCAACACTTCGATAATTATGGTCATTAAAAACAGTGACATATTTAATTTAGTTCTAAAATCAATGTTAGTTTGGTGCCATGTTTAAAAGATGACATAATAAAGCTTGATTTTTGTTACTAATCTTGAATAATACAAGAAATACAAATACTCTTACATGTGATTTTGATGGAGTTTTGTTCTCTGAGCTGGATGGTTTGGTCGTGGAGCTTTCATCGCTCTTCTGAACGACATCATCAGCACAAACTTCAGATAGAAGTGAAGTGTTTGGATTTCTCCATATGCGTTTCACAGCTTGTTCTGTACACCTCGATGTTGATTGGTTCTTACTGACCTTAAATTTGTTATTGTTTACTTCTTTGATGTCGTTCAGATGAACAATGAAAGCTTCACGACCGAACCATCCAGCTCAGAGAACAAAACTCCATCAAAATCATCCTTCTGAGCTACAAATCTTCTCCACCATTCTTACGTGTGATATAGTAAAGTACGGTGCCATAAAATACAAGAAAATGAAATTATAGCCCTAAAATCTGCCTTATTTTAAAAATTTTGAATGAAGTGAAATAGAAAAATTTTAAAAAACTTGGAATGTCACATGTTATTACGTCATATCACCGTTTTAAGCTTTGACACGTAAACATTAAAGATATCGATGAAACTTATATAGAAATAAAAAAGGAACCATTTCATAAGACTAGAAACAACGTTAAGGCTGTTAATTGTTTTTGAATATACATCTCAATTAGTATTAGATTTCGCACTGCAGCAGATGATGAGAAAGAACGTAGATTTATCAAAGTCACTAAATTTCTAGGAAGTCCTTCTGAACTTTTTCGGCTTCTGAAGAATAATAACTGATATCATATGATCTAGAGTAAATCGGTGAGATGAAATTATCAACATCACCTGTCTTTTTTCATACTAGTAAGTTTGAAATAATAACGAAGTTAAAAATTCTGATTCCATATAAATTGTAATCCACAAAACATTAGTCTATGAGACTTCAACAGAACATATAATATCACTGTTACTATACTGATAGCTAACGCTACAATGGTATTTAGGATTAATAAAAATCTAATATCAATTGTAAGTGGTTTATAACTACAATGATGAAAGAGAGATGAGCTTTGGTTATGCAAAGGTTAGTCGAAAATTTTAAGCCAGGTTAAGTGTGTAAAGATGAACCTGATATAATGACAAACTTCCAAGTCATTTCATAAACATCACCAAACTACTCAACAACCTGATCTCATTTAATATTTTCTTAAAACTACCCTTGATAAAAGGATGCACTTGTTCGAAAAATTCAACATGATGTCCGCTCTTGATCTATTCAAAAAGAAAAGATTCAAAATGAGAGACGGTTATATAATGTATATTCAAATCCATTCTGCTCTAATAATGAGGTTAGTTTAGTAATCATGTACCGGAACTAGGTATATTCTCTTCCATGACGATTCTGACTGTGAGAATCTAATGATTTTGGACGTAATGATTTTAAAGTGATATGAAAACACCACCAGTAAAGCAGTGTACTCGTATCCAGGGTTTTGTGCATATTGGTTCTAACCAAATGGCTCCATCATATAGCTTTTAACTATTACTGTAGTTGTAGAAACTAACAATATTTTGTGACTTGAATTGCTTCCGATATAAAACAAATTTAATGTAGATTAATTCATGGATGTTTTTAGTTATTCTAGTAAAATGTTTGAACTCCCGTTTTAGTGACATGAGTAATTGACATACTGATCAACACATATTCTCCAAGAAGTTAACGATATCAAAAAGCTTAATAACACATATCTAAATATCGTGATCTTTTAGTACACTTTGTAATATTGATACCAAAGATAAGTGAAATGTATCTTTGAAGGATCATTTGAGATGTCCTAATTTAACTTAAAATGGGATCAGGATAATGAAATAACAGCCTTTGGTTGTGATGTACCCTATTAGTAAGCTCTTTCAGAATCAAACAACAATTCAATTAATCCAATCAACTAGTAAAGGGTGATTCACATCCACAAAACAAGTTAAACCAAGATTACCTAGTTAAAAATAAAAACCGTGGGTAATTTTAAAAGAAACTGGTCAAACGAACTAAAGTTATCACTATCTCATTAATTTGTATAAAAAATAAAACAATTAATCATCCAAGACAGCATAAAAATGGAAGATCAGTTGAAAGGCTTAACACATAAACATAAATCTAAATGTATACCTATAACAATTTATGAACACTACAGGTTGTAAACAATTGTTGAAAACCCAGTTACGTAAGGGGAATTCATGTTCTGAATAAACTTTTGTTTTTGGTCTTTTCAATCTAACTAAACTTCGTATTTTATTCACCAGACAATTGACAGGTGATTTAAGGTAGTTAGCGGAAATCTCTGTACTTAAGTTTATGTTAGTTGACACGTCGGTTAAGAATACTTGCAGTCTTGACGCAACTGATTCTCCTTGTATGATTTGAACTTTAGTTACTCAGCTTCACACTCTAAAATTGTTCTTTACTCAAAGGAAATCAGCAGGGTCACAGATGGCGAAATAAGTTGTTGTCAACTTTTCTGTCCCCAGGTAGACTTTTCATATACTTTATTAGCAGTAAAAGTCTCATACCCCACTTCAATCTCATTGAAAAGCTGGCCAATAGCATGTTGGTCAGTGGAAGAGATGGCTTTTATTAGGGCTTGCTTTAATACATCATACGGCTTTTCCTGATCCGGTTTAACTAAAGCTTCTCACATGCTATGTGCAACTACTTCCGGAAGGAGTGGGCTTGTGTAGCTGAATAGAGCTAACCAAAAAAATAATTTTCAAATCTATTGAATCAAATTCATACGTCGGTGACCTTAAAAGGCTGAATAGAACGATTAAGGAACCTCATGAATGGTGTTATTTTACTTTAATCAGTCATCTATATCCAAGACAACTTAAAAAACCGGCAGTAAAAGACCTAAATACTTAATAATATAGTGAGAAGGGGTTGTAAATGTTGTTCACTTTGAATTGATATAAATTGGAGATCCATTGAAACTCAAGATGAACTAGACATATATTACGTCTTTGCCTAAGATTCTTCATTAGTGCACACTTTAAATTTAACATGAGGTCTTCAGAGAATGTGGTGACGCCTGATCATTGAATGGGCATCCAATGTTCCAAACTTTCAACTTGATATTATGAACTAGAAATTACCAACACTAATTTGTGAATCTTATTCCAAACTGTTTAAAAGAACTGTGAAATATTTATTATGATTTTTTTCTGTAGGACAATCCGATACAAGAAGAAATGATGAAACGAACAGAAATGTTAAAAGTGAGTTTAATTATTAGTTTATTAATAAATACAAAAAGGCAATACCGAAATAAATATCACTACTTATTTATCTAATAGTATGTGAATAAAAAAATATTTATGATATTGTGGTGTGTGCTACTGATGTCGACAAATGTAAGTAGTATGTATCATCAGTCGAAAGTGAAATGCCTGAAGGCAGGAGGTTAAGAAGATCAAAGAAAGAAAACGAAAACAAAGGATAATTTATATAGAAACGAAAGAACGATCAAGTCTGAGACAATTGACTGACATTTTGCAAATGAAAAAAAATACTGTGCGGTTCTCAGATTTTACAATGAGATTCTGTAATTTTGTATTCAAATACATTCGGTTGTACTCACTGCTGTTCTCGTCCACTACAACATGTTATGGTTTAATTAGTGAATGGCTAACAATAAAATTCAGGTCATTGGCTTCGTGTTACTTATGACTCGTTAACTGGATTTACCTAACTCACAGTTTTGATATTCTCAGTAGCTCAGTAGAAAATACTTTGAGCGTTCAAAATGAAAAGTGCTGGATTCGCGTGTCAATATGAACATCAATACTGGGCTTCAGAAATGTCCAGCTGACGTGTCCCAGATAGGATGAAACACACGTCATAAATCTTACTGTTAGCTATATACCAAATACTGTATGATTTATTTACTTTTGTTCATGTTTTCCGATTTTAAACGCTTGTTTCTATTTCGGATTAAACAATGAAGTCTGAGACGATTAACTGATATTCGAAAAAGGAACAGTCAAGTTTGAGACAACTGATTAACATTTTGAAAATAAAGTATTTCCTTTATGCGAATATTCGTCAAGATTAGAACGAATAGTTTGACAGTAATTGAGCGCCGAGTATAGAGAAGTCATTATATGTGAAAATTATATTTGAAATATTCTCAGCGATTGAAATTTAACTAATTCCAACGTTTCGTCCAGCTAACTTGTCTGGACTTCTTCAGGGTAATAATCAAAATCAAAATTATCAAAGAAATATATAGCTTTTAACAATCAGGATTATACTGTGTTAAACCAATCATATTTGGATGTTGAATTTTTGTAAAATAGGATAAAATGAGTCAGTTAACTACAAATCATGTGATGAATTCAACTACATGGAAATACTTAACTGAGTAACAAATCGTATGTGTGTGAGTGTATAGGTATGTATGTATGTGTGAGAGATTGATATGAAGGAATAAATAAAGTTCAAGTTCAAGGATGAAAACTTGATAATGAAAGATCGATGTGCATGTCAAAACATAAATTGTATTGTTTAAAAACTCATTCAGTTCTTTCAATAATAATAACGATGCATGTGATATTAAAAACAGGTTTAAACAAGAGATAGGTTCCAAATTTACTTGTCAAACGAAATTTGCCAGGTAGTTGCCATTTGAATACCATCTTTTCGGTTCAGGCTGTTCTTGTTCGCCCATATATGCAGAGCTTCTGCTGTCAATCTTTCTTTATGGGTGTTAAAACCTTTCTGAAGTATTTTGGTCCCTTCAAAATTAATCTTGTGTCCTGTTTCTAACGCATGTAACGCTATCGCTGACTTATTTTCAAGTTTCTTTAAATCTACCGAGGATTTTGGAACATTTTTCAAGCATTGTTTGTGTTCCTTCAATCTTACATTTAATTGCCTGGATGTTTCTCCAACATAGGTAGCATTACAGTCATGACAGTGAATCTCATACACAATGTTCTGTTGTTCTTCCTTTGCTAACTTGTCCTTAACTTTCACCAATGTCGATCTTAATGTGTTATTTGCTCTAAAATACACTCTTATATCATGTTTGTTTAGAATCCGTTTGATTTCTTCTGATGTTTCACTCCGGTAAGGTATGACTACGGTGTACTTCCATTCTTTTCGTATACTTTCTAGTTTAGTTTTTCTTTCATTTTTAATAATCTTTTTTAAAAACCTTTTTGGGTAGTTGTTATCCCTAAGAGTAGAAAATACTTTATTTAATTCGGTTCGTTGGTCTTCCTTGTCTGTAACAATCTTAGTACTTCTGTTCATTAGATTTTTTACCACATTAATTTTCGTGCTCTGTGAATGGGCTGAATTAAAATCCAAGTATCTCTCGGAATGCGTTGATTTTCTGTAAACATTTATTTTTAACTTCTTATTATTGTGTCGACGTTCAACCAGACAATCTAGAAATGCTAGTTTGTGGTCAACTGATTCTAATTCCTTAGTTAGTTTAATGTTTTCAGAAATGCTGTTTGCATTGTTAAATAGTTCTTCCATACCATCCCGTTTATTGATAATAAAAATATCGTCTACATACCTTAACCATAACTTTGGTGGACATAAACTCTTTGCGATTGCACTAGTTTCTAGGGAATGCATGAATAAATTCGCTACAATCGGAGAAACTGGTGAGCCCATTGCTATACCCTCTTTCTGTCTGTAAAGTTGACCTCGAAATATGAATAAGGTAGATCTTAAACATAATTCTAAGCATTTTATAACCTCTGATGGATCTAATGGGCATCGTAAATTCAAATCTAAATCAGATTCTAAATAATCATTGATAATATCCATAGCTCGACTGATAGGTACATTAGTGAATAAGGAAGATACATCAAAACTTGCCATTATTTCGTCCTCTTCTATATCGATGGTATCAATTAAATTCTTGAATTCCATAGAGTTTTTAATTCCATGATTAATTCGTTTTTCATATGGTTTGAGAATCTTAGCTAAATATTTAGCTAGATTGTAAGTCGGTGAATTTGTATAGTCTACCACTGGTCTTAGTGGAGTATTATTCTTGTGGATCTTTGGTAGCCCATAAAATCTGCATGGATTACAACTCTTTGGATATAACATAAACCATAAGGACGATCCTAGCTTAGCTTTTAATGACTGTAAGAGTTTGCTAGTTTGCGCCTTGAGTTTATTAAGAGTTGTTCTACTTTTCGCTTCTTTGATTTGTTCATATGGACCCTCTTGTAGATGTTCTTTGGCTTTCTTCTCATACTCTGTTTTATTCATAATAACTGTAGTATTACCTTTATCTGCTCTCGTTATTATGATCGTTTTGTCCTCTCTCAGCTGTTTTAATGCGTAATATTCATTTTTATTTATGTTAGGGTTGTGAGGTTTCTGATGTAATAATGTTCTCAGATTTTAATAAGATGTTCTGTAATTTCGAATTCAAATACACTCGATTGTCCTCACTTGTGTTCCCGTTCACTATAATATTAAGGATATATCTGTACGATTTTTCGAATAATATTTCAAGCCATCTACCTCAGTATTAAAGAGGATTTTCTTTAGAAAAATGTCAAACAAAAGTAATGATAGTCTGTTGCATATTTTTAGTTCGTTGTGGCTAAAGAAGACAATATACTCACAAGTGTTATATGTTTCTTATGAAAGATTGCTAGAACAGCGAAATAAATATAGTTGATTGTTTCATCATAGAGTAACGTCTAATGAAGATATTACCAAAGACCGTTTATTACTTAGTAAGCGCATAAAATTACTGATTTTATAAATAAAGAAACACAAAATCATACAGTTTTATACTTGGTAATTAGATATATTTTTCACTGTAGTTCCATCTTAGTCTAGTGAACACACATCATTGTGCATATATATTGTTACACATGGCCTCTTACACTGTTATTTTCTGAATAGTGACTACCTGAATTAAGGAGAAATGAATCTAAACAGTACTACATTACAATTGTTTTACTTTGAAAACTTTCATCCATCTTAGGATATTAAATTAAAATAAGAAATTGATAAACCATATGATAACTAAAATCCACTTGGTATTGTTTACTTGAATCTTCCGGTTGATGTTTAAGACTGCAAGTGATCAGTCTCTTATTGGCATATGTGAATACTATGCGTATTGCCTCAATATTGCCTTAATTCACAAGTATTATAAGCAAAGATGGATAATGACTAGCAGGGAAATCCAGGACGCTCGTATCGTCCTATTTGGGAGACATCAGTTGGATGTATCTGCATCTCAGAGTTGATGTTCACTTTGGGACTCGAATGCGCGTTCTGGATTCTACTGCTAGTCACTATCCATCTTTGAATATAATGCTTATGAATTACGGCAATATTGAGGCAATACGCATAGTATTCACATATGCCAATAAGAGACTGATCGTTTGCAGTCTTAAACATCAACCGGAAGATTCAAGTAAACAATACCAAGTGAACTTCAGCTTTATCCCATTGGACAAGCAAGTAGTTATCAGGACTCAGTAGCTAAGTGAATAATGACGTTTGAAGCGAACGGTACTGGGTTCGAGTCCAACCATCTTTGGTTATATATAATATTTAATTCTACTAAACTGACTTTTCTATTTGAACATAGATAAAATAAAATTTTTTATTAATTGTAGAGTGAATAGATGCATAATATTTTTACGGAATAAGTAAAATGATGATGTCGTATTGTCATTCTTAGTCAACCAAGAAGTACGACATGTTCAGAACTTCATTGAAGTTTTGGTCTTAAAAGAAATGGAAGTTCATATAAAGGAACAATATTTAGTGTGTAAACTTCAAGGTTAAAGTTAGTTGTGATATTTTACACATATTTAAGTTTGAATGATAATTTAGTGCTAACCAACACGATAAAGTTTGTTGGTATGAATGCTATTTCTATAAATAGGATTCAATAAAGATCAGTCAAATGTTAATCCTCTCATCCATCTATTTGCACATCTAACTAGATTGACTACTGTGTTTTTCGACAAAAAACATTCTCATATTCATACGTGAAGATGCATTTTGAATGTATATGGTTGTGGAAATGATTCGAATTGTCTTCTACACTACAGTGCATCATTAATAAAAGTTTCTTACAAAAATTCAATATAATTACTGGCATTAGTCAACTGAAAAATGTATAGCTTTCATTAAAATGTTAGTGAACATTTGAAATAGAGAATCATTGCTTGATGAAAGATTTTTCTTTTTTTCTTTGGTTTCAATATATGCATCTGTAAGTTAATATATATTTAAAATGAATAAACTTGTTTATTATAGGAACATATTGAAGGAAATATTGAGATATTAGACTATTTACAAGGAATTTCAGGATTGGAACGTGATTTCTCAGTGAGTTATGTTTATCGATTACTCTTTTGCGATTAGCAAACGATGATATATTTTGCAGGCGACTTAAGTGTAACTTTCTAAAGAAATAAATTACAAGTGACTTATATTTTGTTTATAGAACAATGTGTCAGCATGAGTACTGATGTTCCATAAACTCTGGGCAATACTTTCTCTAGAAGTAGATAAGAATATAAATGGTTAATTAATCTTGTAAAATGTACTCGAAGTTATTAGTTTTCATCAGAATAGGGATTTGTGGAGATTGTAGTGATTTTAATAGTTAAGATCATGAATCGATGTAAGCCAAACCACCATTGGAAACGTGAAAGAACTGGACGGTCGATTCACCCTAGTATGGGACTCGGCAGTGCTCATCCACAATCCCACACGTGGGACTCAAAGCCTGGACATTTGATCTCGCGTGCGAACGCCAAACCTCAAGGCCACTGAGCTGGCGCAACCTTTTATGCATTGTCTACGGTGGATAACAATTTCCAACCGACACGGACTTTATTAATTATTATTTCTACATATAGCCCTTTAAACTATATTCTTCAGTGCTCAATATAAGAAATGCTAGAATGATAAGCCAATGTACAAAACGTTTTCAATAATTTGTTATATCAATGTTTCAGTAGGGGTAAAAGTAGGTACAATGTCAACTTATGTTTTGATTTTAAACAGAAATCCTTCACTGACTCTAATTCTAACGGTTAATTTAAAAATGCTGTTATAATAAATTACAAAAAGAAAACAACTAATTATCTAAAGCTTGTGTAGTTTTAATTACAAATCGTTAAATTACTTCATTCATATCATTCATATTTGAATATAAGCTTAGAAGATAATAACAAATCAAAGTATAGATCAAACAATTGTTTACAGAAGTTAGTTTGCATCTGAAACAATCAGATTAAAAATTTCAAAAAAGGGGAAGGAAGATATTCATCACAGACGACTAGAAGTAACATGTTATAAACAGAAGAGCAGACCGTTTATATCGTCATACTTTCTATCTTGATTGATCATTTTTGTTCAGAACATAAGACATCCATGAGACAAAGCGGCTTTCTTTTATTAAGATGGACAAACGAATTGACTTACTATGGATCATGACGAGCGTATAGGCAGCAGTCATGCAATAAACTCCTCTGATTTGAGCAAAATTATTCAATAAATTTATTATTAAGATTTGCAAAATGTTTCACAAAAGCGATCTATAGTTATATGGGATGACTTATGGAGGTCAGAGAGAGAAAGCTTTGTGGTAAACTAAACGAAAAAGGTTTATGATCACGTCACATTAAGAAGGTTATATTTACGCCAGCTGGTACTTTGGAACAACTTTATGTCTGCTATTGTGTCTTTCAGGATGTTTCTTAACTTTTAACTTAAAGATTATCTATACTATAGAGTCCGTTTGAAAATTCTAACTGGAAAAGCTATTAGTGTGTCGTAATATTTGAATCAGATGAGAAATATAAGTAAATACTGTACTGTTATAGAAAGCAATATGAATGATAAGAAATAGTCAGTCTCATACAGTGAAATGTTGAAAAATCAATTACTCCGTCAAAATCACAGCCAACGGAAAAGCGAATCAAAACATATTTACAACACGTACAGCAAATGATGGGACAGTACACAACTATTGCAAACGGATGTGTTGCTTTGTTTCGGAAATAGACAACCTATTCAGAGCGGATTAATTTCAGAAGCGTATAAAACGCAGCAGATATCTTTTCAAAAACGTAAAAGGATAACAAAAAAAAACAGATCAACGGCATAAATGTATGGGATGAGTAGTTCATTGAGTCATGGCAAGTTGTTAAAATTGTGTAACACAAATACACTACTGAATAATATTAAGTAGCATAAGTAAAATACGTAAAAGTTAGAGCGGGACTAAAAAGTAGTTTCAAAAATTAAGACAGATAAAGGTGGTCGCGATTACAAGTGTCTTATTTCTAATAATGCCAAAAGAAAACGTATATATCGGTTACCTATGACCATGCTGGATATAACAGTATGGAACCCCGAATGTTATCCCATTCAATGTAACCATGTGGCTAAAATTATTCGAAACTTTGGGTATGCAAATGTAGTTGTGATAAAAAATCCTCGAAATATAAGAGTCCTTCTGCTACTAGTTGCTTACAAACTGTATTTTAATTAACGAATCGTATCATACAATATGAAAATTTCTTATTACAATTTTTCATTTTTCAAATTCTTTGTATAACAAAACGTAATTCAAGAAATTGGCAGAGCGTGTCATAAATACAGCGATAACACTGAGCGATCAGAATAATGTTGTGCATCCAGAAAGAATATATGATCAGGTAAGCATCTAACGCATTTCACTCGAATAATCTGATAAGTAATGATAAACAGAAGTATACTCTCATTTGAGATTGTCGGTTGCAAAGCTTTCAATAACATGTTAACCATAATCTTTCCCATAATTTTACTCTTATACCGTACTTTCTCTCAAAAACCTATTACCTGAACTATGGTCATACATTGCTAGTTCAACATTTATTTATCCCATCATATTCTTGATCAAGTAATAGCAGTTAAAAACGATCGTGATCGCTTCTTCAAAGTTAATGGATAAGTGAAGTACAGAATTTGTGCAACCTGAACAAGAGAACAATTACTAATATTCTAGTGTGGTTGACTGACGTTTCAGAAATGACTAAGATCTAAAATTTCTTGCTAATTACTTATAGAATAATAGCTTTTTGCTAAGTTGTAGAGTATATTGATGACAAGTATTTGATCAACTGTCTTTATATTGTCTGTGTATATTACTATATAATAATTTTGATAATTTAGATCATGAGTCAATTGAAGCTAGACCACTATGGAAAACCTGGAAGCACTAGACGGCCGTTTCGTCCTATTGTAGAACCCTTCAGCAGTCCGCAAGGTGGTATCGTGGATGCGCACTGTTGAGGAGTCCCACACTAAGACGAAATGGCCGTCTAGTGCTTCCAGGTTTTTCATGGTGCTTCAGCTTCAATTGACTCATGATCTTAACTATTAGAATTACTAAAATATCCACAAGACTTCTTCGGATACTATATAATTGGCTAACAAGTAGTTCCAGGATGAGATTGCTAAGATTTAGTTTCATAGTCTTTTCATATTCAATTTCATGTTTTATTTTCAAATAAAATGACGAGCTTGATAAAACTGTTGGATACCTACCTTATTAGTGAATAAAAAAGTGGCGATTTCCAAAAAATCATGTAACTGAAGAACATTTAATTACTTAAAAACTTGTTATATATGGAAAAGGTAAATATTATAAATACTAACAGAAATAATATGAATCACTATCAACTGTTTCTTGAAGAAGTGAGTGATTCTAATGTCAGAGCTTTACTTTAACTTCTATCTATGATGAGGTTCTTGCGTCTTGTGTCATCTGGAAAAAAAACTTTGTAAGTAACAATACAATGTTACAAATCTTAAACTAATTTAAAGGGAAATTCTTTATACACTTTACCCTAGAGAAAGATAAGTTTGATTCAGTTAAGAAAAATCATTACAATCCATTGAAACGGGTTTGTTAGTGAAGAATTTCAATGTTATTATAATGTGATAACAAGTGCTTTCCTTTTAGGAAACTGGTGACAATGTTGACAGATGTTGGAAATACATTTCTCAACTATCTGAAGCAATACAATTTCATATCACAAAATCACATGAGTATCACAAGGTTAGTTATAAAGCTTAATTAATATAGAAATGAATATTTCATATCTACTTTACCGATTTATGGAATAATATCTAGTTTTTAAGACAGACATGATCAAGATCTATCATTAGTTAGATTTGTTAAAAACTAGGATACACTAAAGCTTGAGGTGGGATTTGTGATGGGAGATCAGATGACTTACAAGTACAGTGAAGTTGAAAATTCGTACCATCGAACTGCCACTCAGTGTTTTGACTGGATCATTTTCGTTGTGAAATCACAATATCGTAAGTTCAATGCTGGTAAAGTCATGGGTAAACACTGTCGAAGAATTTTAAAGTAGAATGCAACAATTGCTAAGCTTTCTATGATTTTCAGTGGTTCTCGGAACTATATTAGTTCGTGGCTAAGCCTATTCTTACATCTTATTACCTATTCAAATGTTTTATTTCATAGATAGTTTAATTGATACATTGTAAAAATGAACACTAAATATGAATATACAATAAGGTTCATATTTTTGATGTAAGAAGTTAGGCAATCAATAACCCTTTAAAATCAACGGAATGATTTTTAATTTGTTGTTAACTCTTTTAGTCACCACGGGATTAGTTGGTGAACTGTAGGCATTCAAATAATCACAAGTGTTTTTTAGGAATTGGTGTATTATGACTATTTATTTAACACTCTCTCCTACGAAAACTTTTGTGAGAGCTATGGAAATGTATATTCCAACTTGACAATCGGTTTATAATTTCCCGTAGTTGTGATCACTTGACTTTTGTGTGTATGTTTTTTTACTTTAGATTCAGCAATGCAAAAACATTTCCGTAGATGAATTCTATTAATTCTTATCTAAGTCATTAAATGAAATCAGCTACAAATATGTAACTCGAATAAATGTTTCAGAAATAGATAATGGTTATTGAGTAGTATTTGTAAACTTGCTAGAACGTATTATATTTGATAAGGATAACATAAATGTCTTCAAGTAAATGTAATAAATGTAATTATCAATCTCAGTCACAAGGTTGGTTTTATTTCTTTAATTGTTTGTCTCTTTTAATTTTTTTTCTTCCAAGTTTCATCATGAAATTTGGGCAGCTCGTATGGAAATACAACAAGTTCTTTCGAGTTATTCGTTAATTCAAGAAAAATTAGATTCATTAAGTTTGTTAACTGATGAAGCTCTTGAAACAGTTAAAAATATGATAGAAGCTCAATTGGTAAGTTATAGAGAAATAAAGAAAAATCTGAAATATACTATAAATGACACAATATTAGGATAAAAATTTGTATCATTAAGTAGACTTGTTACTTGATAAAAGACTTTTACATTATTCATTTTGACAGAGCATATATACAAAACTTTCTCTCAAATCAAAAGAATTCTTGGCAAAATCATCAATAATGAGGTCGATATTTCTTCGTAACTCACTAACTCAAGGCAAACATTCAGCATACTTGTTAGCCTCGCTACGTTTACCATCTGGACAATCGGTTCATAGAGGTGATTCTGTTAAAGTATGGGGAAGTAATCAATTTGTATCAAAATTACATAGTGAATGGAATGCTGAAGTCAATAATGGTGAACAAATAAATAATGCACCTTCAATTTGTTTTTGGCTTACTTCTCCAGAACATAGTCCAATATCAGATAAGAGCAACCAATTAGAGTCCTGTGAAAATGAAGAAAATCATGAAACTTTAGGAGAAGTTTCATCAACCAAAAATGTTTGTAAACGGTAGGTTGAATAGTATTTTGTAATAGCAAACTGTTATTTAAAAACTTTTTAAAGCACACATTAGGTATTGTGAATATATTTCCACTTTATTACTCACATTAACTTTCATTGTCTAACTGTTGCATTATGCATTAACATAAGTCTCATGACAAATCAAATCAAGTATTTGAAGACGTACTATGTCAAGCCCACATAGGTTATTCTAGCCTCTGAACAGATCAATCCATTCATTCTTCTCAAGCCACATTTTTACCTTGTCACTTATTCACTTTATAACCCAGATTGTTTTTTATATAGATCGTATGTGTGTTAATTACTTAAGCTATTCATCATGTGTCTGTAACTTATTTTTGTTTGACTATAAATATTGATTCGCACTTAGTTAAATCGAATTAGCCCACTCACCTTTTCCACTGCGCCTCATTTAGTTTCGCTTCTCTCTTTCCTTTTCATTTCATTCGCTCTGTCTGTTCTGATCAACGACTGTACAAAATATACCTATTCGAAACTTTATCCTCGTATTTGATATATTTAATTCTGTTATTCACTAACGCGATTTAAGTCGATGATTATATATATATATATATATATATATATATATATATATATATATATATATATATATATATATATATATATATATATATATATTACTTACGCCTGTTACTCCTAATGGAGCATAGGCCGCCGACCAGCATTCTCCGACCCACTCTATCCTGGGCCTTCTTTTCCAATTCCATCCAGTTCTTGTTCATTTTTCTCATGTCTATCTCCATTTCCTGGCGTAATGTGTTCTTTGGTCTTGGTTTTTTCCTTTGGCCTTGAGGATTCCATGTGAGGGCTTGTCTTGTGACACAGTTGGGTGCTTTCCTCAATGTGTGTCCTATCCACTTCCAGCGATATATAGATACATATATCAAAAACATAATTTACGGAAAGGATAACTGATTATCTAAAAAAATGCACCTAGTAGATGTCAACGTTTGGGATTATTTCACATTACTATATTATGATATAATTCTCATTATCTTACCACTAAAATAAACAGATGGATTTTTCAAACTGTGTAAAAACAAAGTTAGTGAGACACCTTAAACATTTTAATAATCCATATTATGTTTTATTTCTAAATGAAAGTATCCTGTGGATATTTTGATAGGTAATTCAATACAAAACCATTACTTACCAAATTCTTAATTTAAGATTATTTCTACTGTAAAATGAAATTAGTTGAACAATCATTAAAAATCAGAAAGTGTAACGAAGGAGAATACAGGTGAGAACAACCGAATTATATTTATCACAAAAAAAAACAGAGTTTCTTGGTAAAATAGAAAAACCATATAGTAAATCGTTAATTTGCAACATATCATTCCATCATATCAAACCGGATTGTTGCTGTTGCAATCATCAATCCATTGTCTCACATTTCATTGTTCATGCGTTTTCTTACAAATTGCATTGTGTTACCGATCTTCTTTCCTTGATCTTCCCCCATCTTCTGCTGCCAGACATTACGTTTCTAACTCGCGTCATATACTACTTATATCAATGTAAGTAGCACACACTACAAAAGCACTGAAAAGATGTTTTAGTTTAGTTTTGGATTTTCCTACAGTCCGTACACATAACCATACAATAGTCGTGTTAAATTTATAAAATTTTAAGATTCTTGTCAAGTATAGTATTATTCAATCATCAAATTCCAAGTGAGTGATTTACATTTTCCAGTGAGACTATAATTTATGGACGACCTTTGAGCGAGGCTAAAGTGACCTAAGGAGTGTCTACCTACTTACTAGGACTAAATGAGTGTTATAAAGCAGTTTGAAGAATGAGGATTATGATTTACAGTTGATAGTTAGGGTTAGGAATTACATTTAGGGTTTTCATCACTAACTGACATCAGCTAAAATACCAAGACTCTATTTAACCAAATGGATTAATGAATTTCGCGCCAAAATCTAAGACCTATTATCGTAAATCTGATTGGTTCATCCATAAATTATGGTCTCGCCCTTTGATATTATAGTTTATCTTGTATAATTCTGTGAATATTACCTTATGTACCTAATAAATTGTTTTATCTTGTGAAGAATAATAACTAATTTAGTGCATTTGTACTTTTTGATAAGGTTTACTAATTTTTTTCATACTAACCAAAAGGAGATGAATATGTTAATTTATCTTGTGTATTAAGTTGATGGTTTGAATTCCATTTTATTATTTGTTTGATGTACTTGGTTACAGTATTGCTTTGTTGTTAAATTTCTATTTAAAACATTACCATTATTATTTGTTCATTACTATCATAGTTTCAGCTTTACGTAATTAACACAAATGAAATTGCAAGAAATATGAGTAGTCAATAATTGAAACAAAATTATCTTAATTTCAATGGTCAAGATCATGAGGCAGTTGAAGCTAGACAATCATGGAAAACCTGGAAGCACTGGACAGCCGTTTCGTCCTAGTATGAGACTCCTCACCAGTGCGCATACACGTAGAGTTCAATCAGGTCTGTTATGAGATATCAACTCACTGAAGACAACGGTGTACGGTGGTGCAACTTCGTGGATTGGTTGAAGTTATATATTAACACCGTTGAATGCCAGCTCAGTGGTCTATTTGGCTATGTGCCTGGTGCGAGACTGAAAGGTCCTAGCTTCAAATCTCGCGGGGTGCGGGATAGTGGATGCGCACTGCTGAGGAGTTCCATACTTGGGCGAAACGATCGCCCAGTGCTTCCAGGTTTTCCATGGTGATTTAGCTTCAATTGACTCATGTTCTTAACCACTGAAATTACTACAATCTCCACAAAACCCATCTAAAATTATCTTAGTTTAGAAAATTCTCATTTTACAAAAACAAAAATATATGAGCTGGCGGAAGAATATTCTTTTCAATAACTTCTCATAATGTTTTACAGTGAGTGATCCCAGGAGGTAGTTAATTCTTAAACAACAATATCAACTTAAGATTGTTGGTAAAATAAACTAAAATAATATAGTGGTTGGAGAAAGTCAACAGGAAACGCTGAACCTGGGTTTCGTACTGCTTGGGACTTATCAGCAAGGTTTACCTTTATTCTTGAGGGAACTGGTGCTCCCTGACGGATTCGATCCCGTGTCACCCAGCTTCTTAATCAGAGACGTCACTACTGTAACTTGGTTAATAGCATTCTATCTGAACTTAGAAGGACTTGAGAAATATGACATTGATTGTGAAACTAAACTTATCGATGTTGAAATAATCAGTATATAATGTTGATTTGAATAAGTTTATAGGTCATTTGGAATTATAGAGATTAAAAATCAAGATGAATATAGGCAACACAGTATGTGAGAAATAATAATGTGGTTACACATCAAACCAAACGTTTGGTAGATGATTACGTAATAAGTAGAATAATACTAAGAATTATATAAGTAATCAAGCGATGATAATCAAAATGATAATAACTCTAAGATACTTTTAGAATAAGATCGACCTAAGTCAAATTATGTCATCTTATTATGAAATGACTATTGACTTACTGTGTCTAAGCCCAAGAAGTAGCTGAACGTCATTCTTTGCATGCAAAAGAAAAGTTATCTACAATATTATTGATATTCAACATCTATTGCATCCAACATTTATTTGGTGAGTGCTGTATATCTGAGTGTAATCTCCACTGATGTTTTTATTTCAAACCTTTACAATAACTACATTTGTTTGCTTTTTCATCTTGGGTGTAAATTGCACTATGATGGCATGTTTATACAAGATAGTTGTAGATACTTTCAGCCGCCTGAGGGGCGAACTTTATTGAAAATTACGCTTCAATATCCAGTCTCACTAACTAAATGAATAAGCCATGCATGCAAGTGCTGGATACAATAAAATGATTGGTCAAAAGCTTTTCCTTTTCACCCAAAGCTACGATTAAGCGTTTATAAGTGAGACTAAATGTAGTTTGTTTGAATCCCTCAAGCGGAATCGTGGAAACACGATGCTGAGAAATCTCATAATAGGACAGGTTCATTTACAATATGAAATAGTTTTCCAGTGAAAATTGAAATCACTTGGTTACGAAAAGGAGTTTAATAAATTAGTCGAATTATTTTTATTTTTTTAATTGTAATTGAACATTTTTTCATTTAGTTTTCATAAAGATTTATACAGTTCATGGGAAATCGCTATTAATCTTTTTGCAAAAATATTGATGCCTACATGTACGGACTACATAAAAAAACTTGAAAATATTGATGTAAGTGATGTTTTTTCTAAAATAAAAATGGAGATTCATTTCCCTGTAACAAATAACGAATGTTTTGACATGATAACAAATGATTGAATGATTAACAGTTATGTTAATTGATTTAAGCAAAAGTTTGACTTGAGAGCGTTAAAATATAATAAGCAAGGGTTAAATTATCATAGAATGTTCAAATACTTGGCTGTAGATTTCGATCGATTATATTTTAAGTATGAAACAATAATTAAGGTGTATAATAAATATTGTTATATAACAATGGTTCCAGGTTTTCCATAATGGTCTAGTTGTAATTGACTCAACGATTTTAAGCTTAGAATAATGAATATAAGTTTTGTAGGTCAGTGATTCTTGATCTTTACTTAACTTGATGACTACTTGAAGATTACTCGCCTAATGAATTTACATAAAACTGTCCAATAAATAAAATAGTTGAGATCATGAACCGATCGATTTCGGACAACTATTGAGAACCTGGAAGCACTCGACGGCTGTTTCGTTCTAGTATGTGGCTCCTCAGCGGTGTGCGTCTGTGACCCGCATGCGGGACTCGAACCCAGGACGTTTGGTGGACAAAATGGTCGTCTGGTGCTTCTAGGTTTTCAATGATGGTCTAACATTGATCGGCTCATGATCTGAACAAAAGCTTTACATTCCCCACAACCCTGTACTGAAAATAAAATAGGTCTAATAAATAAGATGGTTAAATGTTTTCAAGGAGGACAATTCTGACTTTGCAAGTTAATAGTTTTGACTACTTGATAATAAAAGCTTTACTATGGTACAAACAAGAAAGAGGTGATTAAGAAAACTGAAGTTAGTGAAATCGTTTAATAAAGTTGTTAAATTATATTCACTCTTCGTATCATCTAGTTTTGTAATTCTTACTGCTTGATACTACTGATATTAGCGTATGAGTAACAAATATTGTTATTAAGCCATGTATATTGATGCCTCATACTTAATATACTTACATTTTGATTTCCAAGATAATAACTGATTACTTTGATGATTTTTGGCATTCGAGTGACATGAAAACAATGGGTAGTTGATTCAAATGATCTCTATTTATGAGGATCCATCATGACCTCCAGGACACTACTGGTTATCATCAGATAAATCAAGCATATCGAGTAAATCAGTAATGTAAACAATAGAGACATATATGATATACTAACTTATTAACAGAAATATGGCTATCTGATCATACTTTTCCCTTGATGAATAATTGCATGTTAAAGTCTGTAGAGTTTAGTTCATACTATCACTAAGATCTATCGTATTCTTTTATACAAAAAGTTATCTAAGAGATTTTTTCAGATTTTGCAAATTGTAGCATCAACGTAGTATTGCTGTTTAAGACGTTATATTGTGAATAAATTCTATCAATTAGTGAAGACAATCATCCTGTCCTCACTTTTTTGAGTAGATATTGACTAGGAAACAAAATAAAAGGCGATTAAAGTTTTTTTCATCTACAAGCAATAAGAGTTACTGTAAAAAGTATGTCATAATTCATCTAATAATATCACCAAGATCCTTAATTTTTTCTTTCGAAATATTTTATTAATAAGCAACCAATCATTGTGGAGAATTCACAAGAATTCAATGACTTTTTAAATACATTACAAACTCTTCTGGAATATGGCAATGAACCGGAATTAGAAACATTGAAAAGGTTATCTCATAGATCTCATAAAACCAAAGGTAAGAACTTTTCAATGTATTTATCAAAAAGCAAAATCTGTAACTATCATAGGAATCTGTATATTCATAAGACATTCAGACAATAAGAAAATTTCATTCAGGTACATTATTTCACTCATTTTCTCCTGAATAAACTAGGTGAGAAAGAGTTTACGATAAGGATTGATAGTATGAAATATTAAACTTCTCAACAAGACACTTAGGTAAAATTTAGAAAATTACAAAGGAAATATTCGTAAAGTATCTGTATGAACTATTTCGGAACCATTTGTCATGGCATGTTCCGTGTTCCAGCACACACTAAACCAATCATTCTGGTTTATTATTCAAAATGATATTCTCATTTTCATCTATCAACATTTATAAATGACTTCATTACTTAGAATGAAATTAAGAATGTGATTGTAATACTCTTGGTGGAGCCATTTAATAATGCTCGATCACTGGACTGAGGACTCAATTGATCAAAATTCTCAGAAAAGTTAATAGGCTTTTAAACTTTAGGTAATATTCAAGACCCTGTGAAGAAAGAAAACAAATAATTCCGCTATTTATAGGACATTTTAGCTTTACTGACATTGTAACTCTTAGTGTTAGTTGAAAGTTAACTTTGCTGTTCAATTTATTTGGACAACAGTTTATTAGATCAAGCAAAATATTTTGAATACATTTACATTAAGGCAAAACCATTATCTCATTCAATATGTAAATCAAGATAAATTCATAAGGTTGATCTTTTTCTTTAAAGGAACAGCACCCTGATCGACAGATGATTTTAATATGATATGTACATGATATTCTTTCTTGTTATCTTTATTCTTGAATTAATGTCAACTCTTTCTATCTCTGAAGCTTAAAGTATTACTCAATAAACGTAGTATATTTTATGGGAAAGTATAAGCAAGAGATTTTTGAATTATCAGGTAGATATTATACTGACTGTAATACTACACTGTGTTTAGTTCTAAGTGTTTTGACTTTATGTCCGGCTTTTTATCACGTGATTTATCCACCAATCAAAATAAGACATACAATCTTAGCACTGTGGCAAAACCAATGACGTTCGACCAGTATGGGCAGTCTCGCGTTTCTATTGGTCCTATGTCCACCTAGCCCATCCACTTGAGTCCAGAACACTAAATACCAGCTTCCAATATGCGAATCGAATCGAATCTTTTATTTCAGACATACAGGGTTTACATATCAATCAAACAGACCGCAACGCACCATAAAATAAGAAATAACATTTGTACACAATAAAGCCAAAAAGTGACTGTGAACATGGGAGGCAGTAGTTAATAAACTGAACATAGCTTAAGAACCGTAAATCGTACAATAATAAATTATAGGTCAAACTAAAGCTTATAATAAGAGGAATATAAATATAGATAACCTAATTATTGAATAGTTATACCATAAGAATGTATAGATAATATTAGTCAATTAATATGTCTCAGAAGTTACTCATGATTTAATCTTCGCTCGGATATAACACTAAGTAATAAATGAATTTGAATTTTTTTTAAAAACGACTGAAATCTCGCCTTATTGATCTTGATAATGACTGGCTTTTTGTATTATCTATCCTATCACTAGCTACATATTTATTTTGATTATCTCTCCTTTAGATTTTATTCTTGATCTTGTATTTGTCGATGATTTACTTCTTGAGTTGATAAATTCTCTTGATTTTAATTAGCTTATGTACATATAATTATGCACTTAATCTTCATGTTACACTTTTATAAAACAAGAATAACGAATACTGTAGAAAGAAGTGAATTCATTTCATTTTATATGCATTAAGTCATCCAAGTACTCACTGATTTGTAAACAGAAATAGAATATTTTACAATTTTAATTTTATATGTAACATGTAAACAATTGATTTCTAATATTTAATTAACTCTTAGTGATTAATACCAAAGTGCTGCAATCAGATTAATTTCTCAGTAGATTTGTATTGTCACTTTTGATTATCTGTATATTTCAGATACTATTATACATATAAAAAAGGAGAATATTCACCAACTAACTGAAACAGTAAAGACATGGAAGGTAAATTAATGTAATATGTAGAATTTATTATAAAATTCATTTATATTTGTTATAACTTGTGGCTTGAGTGTCCTGTTGGTGTATACGTAGTAATACCGCCAATTAGAGAGCAGTGAATTACCGATCATACCAACGACTCAATAAACCCGTTCGAGCACTCTAAAGTCCTGATTGGTCCTGCTTTCCATCTAGCCCAGCCAGTTAAGTCCAGAACAGTAATCTCAGCCCCTGCAATATAAATCACTATATATCAAATATACTGAGTTTATATACCAATCAAACAGACCACAATGTACCACAAAATAATAATAAACATTTGTACAAGATTTAACCAAAAGTGGCTGTGGATTTGGGAGGTAGTAATTAAGAGACAAGGCATAATTAAAGAATGGTAAATAGTATGATAATAGTCTACGGGTCAAAATGAAGTTTATAATAAGAGGAATATGAATATGAATAATTTAGTTATTTAACAATTATACGATAAAAATGTACGCATTGTATTGGTCCATAAATGGATCCTAAAAGTTACCATTCATTATGCTTATTGAGACATAACAATATTATGTATTCTTACCATTATAGAAGATTTTGCTTTTACATAACTTCAGTTAAAGTATTTGACATACTTCCCAATCAATAATGAATTCGATTAAACATTTAAACAAATATTGGATTATCAGAAGGGGTTTTGTGGAGATTTTTAGAAATTTCACAAGTTGAAATCATGAGTCAATTGAAGCTAAATCACCATGGAAAACCTGGAAGCACTGGACGATCGTTTCGCCTAAGTATGGAACTCCTCAGCAGTGCGCATCCACTATCCCGCACCCCGCGAGATTTGAAGCTAGGACCTTTCAGTCTCGCACCAGGCACATAGCCAAATAGACCACTGAGCTGGCATTCAACGGTGTTAATATATAACTTCAACCAATCCACGAAGTTGCACCACCGTACACCGTTGTCTTCAGTGAGTTGATATCTCATAACAGACCTGATTGAACTCTACGTGTATGCGCACTGGTGAGGAGTCTCATACTAGGACGAAACGGCTGTCCAGTGCTTCCAGGTTTTCCATGATTGTCTAGCTTCAACTGAACCATGATTTTAATCAGTGAAATATGGGATTATTGAAATGAGAAGTGAAAAATCTATAATAAAAATTATCTTCTATTGAAATAAGTATATTATGAGATGATTGCTAGTTACTGCCAGGGAACTGTTCATACTATAAAAAATGCAACATATACGACTTATGAATGATATGAGAGATAAATAGTAATTTTACAATATCGTAATTCAAATGATAATCAATAATTTATTCCAATGTATTCATATTGTAGGATACTATATTAGTATTCATTGTACAGTTGTAGTATACCTTTATTGATAAGAATACATGATTGTCTCTAACCCCTTTAACAAAATTAAAGGGTAAGCAATATTAAAATAATTAATTTAATAGTAAGATTAAACGCTTGTTCAACGCATTTCAGTCGAGACTTTTGGTTAAATAAAATTATGCAATCCTTGTTCTATAGTCAGTTAAGTGTAGTAATGAATGCAAAACTGATCCATTTGATCTGACAAGTAATCTCTAACGGAGCTTCATATATCTTCTTTTGCAAACATATGTTATGTGTATGGAATTTCCATCATTTTCATCAACTGCACAATCTTAAATGTTAAGAAGAAGAGTCATTCAATTATTCACTCATACAGACAAACTAGTATTCGAAAAATATTAAACACATAGGTTATTATTCTGCCATTAATTGATAGACGATACATCTATTTTAAATAGTCATTTTAATTTTAATGGATACAATGCATTCTGTAGGATCTTGTACTTAAAGACTTGATTGTCTACTTATATGTGTTCATTTATTCCCATACTGAAATGATACCGATGAAATTAATATTGGCTTAATGGGAGATCGATTCGCATACATATTATACTACAATTATTTGATGGGAACCATTCGGGCTAATAAACTTTATGTTGATAGTGCAGTGATTTACAAAGTAAGCTGAACGATGAAGTCATCAATTAGATTGAATTCACGTATCATTTGTAACATTAAACAATTCAAAGTGCATTTCTGAAACTTTGAATGTTTGCTGATCAGTAACCTCAATTAATTAATTTGATTCTAAGGAAATAGAATAGAGAAAACTTGTTTGAAAGTCTCTGATCGCAGAATGAGAACAATTGTCTCTTATTCATATCGCAATCGCACAATCACATCAAGATAACACACATTTCAATCGATTTATGAAACAGAATATATTTCTCTTGACCATAATAATAGCATGCAAGTTATCAATGTAAACGAGTTGTGCCCTTGATTCGACAGAGTAGTTGAATAGTTGCTAGATTTCTTGAAACTGTAATAGAAAAGCTCATATTATTTACTAGTATCTATACCCATAGCAATACTTTTTATGGTTTTTTAGATCCTTTTACAGAAATTTAATGAAGCAGTGGCGAATACATCCGAGAATGAAGCTAATGATCAAAGTCTCACAACATTAAAAAACGAAGATTTATATTTAAAGCTTTCGTAAGTTTTTTTTCAAACGAATGAAGTATAATACTTGAAGCGATAAAAAAACAATGTACTTATTACCAATAAGAGTAGTCAACTGCAAATATGAATTAAATAAGGAGAGATAATGTTTATATATCCACTGTCATTACTAGCTCTTCCAAGTATTTCTGCTTGTCGGCTCTAATTCACCTCATCACTTCTTTGTTTGCCTCTGTGTATTCAGCTTGTGCCTTGACTTTCTTTTCTCGTGTTCGGCTGTTGTTAATTAGTGTGTTTTTGTTCTTCCTTTCTTGAATCTTGTCTAGGGTTTCCATGGAGATCCATTCCTTATGATGATGCTTCTTGCAGCCCGAGACCTTTTGATATGTTGAAGTTAATGCTTCTTTTATCCCTTTCCAGTTTTCCTCCATCGTAGTTTCTCGTTCTTTTAATAGATCCTGTGAGGCTTGGAACCTGCTGCTGAGAGTTATCTTGAATTCGTTGAGTTTGACAGTATCTTGTAGGAATGTTGTATTGAACGTTTGTGATGCTGTTTCGCCGGTTGTCCAGTGTTTCTTTAGCCTCAGTTTCATCTTGGCCAAAACTGCGTGATGATTTAAAACTATTTCAGCTTCACGCCTGGTTCTCACGTCCTCTGTTGTCCCTCGGAATTTTTTAGTGATGCAAGTATGATCGATCATGTTCTGTGTAATGTGGTTCGATGAAACCCGTGTAGCTAGCTTTGTGTATACATTTGTGTGGAAATAATGTGATGCCTATAACCAATTTGTTGAATGCACATAAATTTTCAAATCTGTCGCCTTTCTCGTTCATTCATCCCAGTCAGTCCATGTCGTCCCATGATATCTTCATATCTGGTGTGGTCCATTACGACTTTGGCGTTTAGATCTCCCATCAGAATGGTGATCTCCATTATTGGGCACTTCGCTATGTTTGATTGCCGCCTCTCATTGGACTGATGCTTATTGCCGTCATTGCTATCATTCGTAGGTGCATACTACTGGATAACATTCATCGTGATTCCCTCCTTTGTTTTAAAGGATGCTTTGATGATTCTGAATTTGTGAGATTCCCATTATATATGAGCATTTCGTGCTTCTTTGGACAGAATCAGGGGAACTCCCTGAGTGTGATGCATTTTCCTCTTCGTGATCGGAGTACGGCAACATCTCTCCCGAACCTATCTTTTTCTGTCCAGCTTGGATTTAATGGATTTCGTTGATTCTGAGTACTGTCGTGTTGTATCTCCTCATTTCCACAGCTATTTGACTGACACTGCCGGTCTTCAGATACTCCATCTACCTAAAATAATTGATCTGGTTGTTAGAAGGAGCATTGGCCTCATGACTTCCGAAGAATCTTGGTTTTCATCATGAGGTGTCATAATTCTTTCCACAACTCAGAGGACAGAGTTTAAATGAATTAATTTGTTTAATCTGGTTGGCTTTTTTAGAGAGACTTTTTGTACGGGATGGGGTTGCCGACCCATGCCTAAACCTCCTCCTGTACCTGGGTTTGGGACCGTCAGTAACTCTAGGAGAGCTACAGACAGAGTTTTATGAATATCAATAAAAAGCCTTATATTATAAAGGGTGTTGCCTAAAGAAGAGGAAATATTATAAGAAATGGATGAGACAAAATGAATGAATGAATATCGCTGTTTTGTAGTTTAATCTATTTACGTGATTAGTCTACTGTTTGGGGTAATTATTCCTCTTTAAACTGTGTGATTATTACTATGATTCTTATTCTCTACTTTCAATATGTACTGGTGATGTAATTTATTTCTGAATGGATATACTTCATTTGTCTCTTAACGAGACAGTATTTCATATTATTTTGACTAGTTTTTTTCTATTTATGTTTAGGCCATCAGTATGTAAAGTAACAAATAGAAACAAAACAATGTATCCAAATGAAATAAATAGAAAACATAATGAAAAAGAGCTAATAACATGTTTCACCGAGAATGTACCTAAAACATTTACAGTAAACAAGCATACAACAGTACACGACCATCGAATACATGAATCTCCTCCCATAAAAAATGTTTTACGATGCCACAGTGATCAAATATTAGAAAATCCTCCAAATTTTGATAAACAGACAAAAGAACTAATGACTCAAATTGATTCACCATTTTATTCAGCTGTTGCTTATTGTACAAATTGTTCAGAATTTCATGAAATCAGTTTGTTGTCACCGTTTATTTGTAAACCAGAGGCATCTAATTCAAATTTGAATTCTTCTAGCGAAGTAAGTGATATATCAGAAGTTCGACTAAAAACGGCCCATTCAATGCCAAGTTTGTCTATTGAAACTAAAGATTCTAGTATTGTTGATGATAGAGTATCAACGTTTAGAAATAAAAAGTGTAGTGCTATAAAAAAACTTTCCAGATCAAAGGGAACAAAAAAATGTAGACCATATAGTTTAAATGCTAGTCTCACTGAAACTACAGCAAGTTCAGGATTTGATAGTCCATCGGAGTCTTCTATCAGTACAAAAGAAAAAACAAGATCTGAAATGCATGATGAGTTTTACTCTGAAAGCCATAGAAGTAGAACAAATAAAAGATCTTTTCTATGGTGGTATAAACGTGGCAAACGTGCAATTAAGGATGAGTCTTATGCTCCTGAAAGTCCAAATACCGAGCCAGGTCCACCAGGTAGAAGGTCTCCATTAAATATTACTCCAAGTGAATCTGTTAGAGAATGTAATTATCGTTCACCCACTCAGTTTTCAGACCTAAACGAAGATCAGGCAAATTTCGATGAAAACGGAAATTCAGTAGTAAGATCATATAGTTGGATACAACAAGGTACACCATGGGGATATGCTCCTCCTACTGACAGTAAATGGTGGCCGGCTACGCAAGTGATACCGGTTAATGATCGAGAAAAAAACAAATTCATAAATGCTTACAGCGACAGAATTAAAATGAAAAGCCGAAAACATGCAAAGAGATATTCATTTGAAAATGGTATTATTCACAATGAAAGTCAAATGTACAACACAATTGATTCAGGTATTCAAACTGATATGGAGGTGTATATTTCAAGACAATTAGATACGATTTTATTAGATGCAGAGTCAAATAATCAACGAAATCTTATAAGTCCAGAAACCGTGTGTCAGCATTGTTATAAAAATATACACAAAGTTTACAGTGAAGATAGTTCTGTGCAGTGTAATTTTATAAATGATATGATTTTAGAGCAAAAGTTTTATCATTTATCGCACTCAATTCCTAGCAAAACAGAAGAAAAAACTGACAGAGTTACTCATCGTAGATCTAAATCTAATGGTGTAAAAGTATGGGATGTTTGTTGTCAAGTTGGCACAGTAAAACAGAATCGGAGTACTGAACCAATTAAAAGTGAAGATATTCATTCATTATTATCCACTACCAGTGACCAAGTCAACGAATATAATGATAGTTCAAGAATGTATGCAAGATATGATAAAAGATCAAAAAGTTATGAAACATCTTCAAGGAATCTGTCTGAATTAACTAATGCACCTAGTACAAGAATATCATCTCCATTAAAATTTTCTGTTTCATGTCAAATTGGACCATCTTTAACAGTGAACAACAATGTTACTCATCCTATGAATCAATCATGTCATGAATCCATAGAACAGACAAAAAAATATACCAGTCAAATATGCAATTCATCATCATTTACAACTGATTCACCAGTCATGTTAGGTAAAAAGTTTCAAGTAAATTTACCTTTATCAGTATTCTCAAAAGATATTTCTACACAAATTCAAACAGTAAATAAACAAATGATTTTAACTAATGTATCATATGTAAAAGATGTAATAAAAAGCTGGTTAATAGAATCACAATCCAATTATATTTCTTCTAACAAAATAATTAATACTGAACATAATCATAAAGAAATAATAAATCATTTAACTAAAACAACAGATTGTCATGGATTAATTTTATTGAATGAAACTAGTACACAAATTGGTTTCACTAATGATAATCATCATAAATTAGATCATTTTTATTCTAATCTAAAAGATAATTCAGTACAAACTAATCTTCCACATATTTATATAACTGAAACTAATATTATACCAAATTGGAATTCAAATATCAATGAAATAAATAAACAATTTCTATCTGAATCTAAAATGATAAATCAATTACAAAAACAAAATAAATCAATAAAATCATTGAATTATACTCAATCACTAGGTGAAAATTCATCTCAATTATTAATCAATAAATCAAATCAACAAATCAATACAAAAAATCATAATCAAAATATAATACCTAAAAATAATCAATTTGAACAAACATTATCAGAAAGAAGAATAAGAAGAAGAAGAACTGGATCATTGAATGATCAAATCACTGTAAATAAATTAAAAAGAATACATAAAAATTCAAATGATTTACATATAAAACATGAACATTTAAATAAAAGAATGATATCAACATGTGGTGATTTAATTATGAATATAGAATTACATCATTTAAATTGTAATAAACATTCTATGAAAGATTTAAATTATTTACCATTATCAGAAAGATTATATAATTATAAATGGTTAAGTTTATTTCCATCATCATCATCACCACGATCATCGTCACCATCAAGAACAACATCATCATCATCATCTTTTAATGAATATAATCATTTATGTAAACAATGTCGTTTAAAATATTCTAAACCATATAATATCCATATGGAAATGATACCTAATTATCAATATAATAATAAATTCAATCATGTCATATATCATAGATTACATCATTATCATAGAATGAATTCTAATTGTTCAATGATAAAAAGAAGTTTATCTGCTGATGATTCAAAAATAAACATACATAAAAGATAATGAATTTAAAGTAATATCATGAGAACATAACTAAAAAGATAGTTCTGCTTCTATTATCTATTCAAAGGTAATATGTCAAATACAGAAATGAAAATAGTAACAAAAGAGGAAAAAAAAATACAATGAATCAAATTTAATAAACATAATCTACTTGGTTCATAATTCTATACCATGGCTTTGTTTTTTTTTCTTTCCTATCTAAACATTTTATTTTATTCATCATTTTTTTCTTTGTTAATAAGGTATAGCAACTTGAACCAAGGTATATATGTACCTGGTTCTAACATTGTAGCTAACTGATGAGCTCATCAGTTATTACTGTGACTTCTTTTTTTTTAATAATTTTTATAAATACATTGAATTTGTTTAAATATTTTACACAATTCATACTAAACAATGTTACTTTGTTCTAGTTGAATATAAATGAATTATTATTGTTCTCTTTATATTATTGAATTAAATTCATTAACTTGTTACTAGTACATTAATAATTATTATCTTGATTAGGTTTTCTTTTATTGGTTTAGTTAAATGAATTTAATTGTTTGAATTAAATAAAGGATATCGGAAAGAATAGGTTGATATCTTTTTGTGGTGTTTGAATGAACTAATGATACCTTTGTACTTGTTGAATGCTTGATTTCGAATTCCAAATACAATACATTCGTTTGTGCTCATCTAGTACTTCTTGATTCAGTTGTGTTATTTCGGGGATTCTTAGTTCATACTGCAATTCAAATAATTCGAAATACCATATTTTTTTTATCTATAAATGAATCTAAATAAGAGTTTACTTTTAAATTTGATTGAATAGTTTCACAATATTTGGCCACTGAGTTAATGTGAGATATGAAAGAGGTAGAATGTATTTGTAAAATCTCAGCCAAAAAATTTGAAGTAAATCCAACGGTTCGCTTGGCAATCTGGTTCAAGTTTTTTCAAAGAGATAAGAGTTTATGTAAAAAAAGCCGGGAGTAGAGAAAAGTGTGTAGAGTTTATTATTTCGTATATGTGTGTTACGTTAATTTGTAAAATATATAGTTGTTATAATAAGCGGTGTCCGAAATTCGATACTGATACATGAGGAACTACAAGAACATAAGATTGGACGAGAAATTACATTGGTCTACCGCATAAAATGTACAAATACTTGTTTATATATGTATATATACCCCCTAGAAAATTAATCCACTTCTTAGCCAATGATATACATTTGTCCCATAGGTCACCTTTGATTAGCATCAATTAATTTTTTCATTTGGTCACTTCTCATTGGTTCTCCATATCAGTAGCATTGTTAAGTAGATATATTTTCTTGAAGTTTCCGAATGAATTTTCTGTATTGTATGTTATATAAAATGATTTGGGACTGTGTACCTCGTTATAAATAAATTGTGTAGAGCTTGAGTGTGACGTTTAATTGTATTGATTCATGTTTAGATTAATTGGAATGAAAGAACTACTCTCAGGTTATGATACACATAACTGGATCTGGCAAAGCAGTTGGATTAATTCATATGTGTAGAAGTGATCGAAATCGATACTTTATCCTTGAAATATACAAATTCACCTTGAGAAAATTACCATCCTGTTTGTAGCGTTCTAAGTTGAAAGAATCATTTTGAAATGTTTTTCAAGTTAATTTGGTTGTGACAAATATGCTTTGAATATGAGTGTATGACAACTCTGAAATAACATATTTTTCGTTTTAAATGTCTTACTCGCTTTACTAGTTATATCTAAACAAGCGGTAAACTGCTAATGAAAAAGCATTCTGTGAAAACTGCAGATTAAATCGATAACGTACTTAAGTATTCTTATTTATGTTAGATACTTGAATATGGCCAAAGGTAACTGCATGCATCCGTGTGCACGATTACAACTAATACGTACATCCACGTCCTCATTTTCTGTACTTTCATATAGCTTAAATACGAGTCTTTGTTTTCTCTTTCTTTGTATTTGAATTAATGTAGTTTACTGCTTAACAAAACCATATAGCTCCTAGTTTAGAAATACCGATGAAATTATGATGTGCGTAATATGTGCGTTCCTCATTGAATGTCATTAGGATCATGGCATTTGGTTAGGATTCATATGGCGAGAAACTTCTGGAGCATCTAGATTTTTGCTTTTGATACCTGAAATATGTAAAATATTGAAAAAAAGTCTAATGTTTATGATGTGTGGGCGAGAATGATAATGATTGGTTGTCTGCTTAGTCACACATGTAGATAGTCTGATAGATGTCAGATGAGTTATATATTCCCCTATCCCTATTATTATTGTGACTCACTTATTACTGATTGTTCATTATTGTTGAATTGTGTTGGGTTTTTGATGTGGAAATATATTTACGTTGTGGTAAGGCTAATCACGTGTTCTTGATCTGAATTGTGTTGATGTCTTGTAGAATTAACACTAGACCGAAATCTCGTGTAGATATTTGTCTGACGTAAATTAACGTCCCATACGTGTAAACGTGGAAACCCAACCGTTATAACATTAGAGGAAATAAAACCGAGCGTTGTAAATGTTTACATAAAGCACCAAGTCTGTAGTCAATAGATTTTAAAATGCATTCAAGGTCAACGTAATTAAAAAAACACAAGGTTCTTGCTTATCTACTATATTTAACAGAATTTAAAATACTGCATCACATCGCACTGTGTTTGTTACTTTACATATTCCCAAAGGATATAAATGGGGGAATCAATCTCGATATGTATTTAACAGCAGTTAAACAAACTCCTAAATTGTTTCTGAAACTGACAGATTTCTTTAATCATGTATTAGCATCCATATATTATAAACTTTAATATGATTATCGAATATGTACATATGTTTAAAGAATAGTCAAGTCAAAAAAGTAGATATTGTTACAGGTATGCGAACGAACTCAAACATAGTAATAACTTTGAAAGCTGATGAGATCAGTGTTCTATTTATAATGGATTAGAAAACGTACATTCACATTCAAGCAATAAGAATTAAATAAGATAAATCAAATTACTGAATATTATCCAGTGATGTGGTGTGTTACACACAATAAGGATAGTGGAAAAATTTACGGAATCTACAGGCGAAAAACATTTGATAATCAAAACGTTTACTAATCCAGATATAAAGTTTATATGAACCTTAACTAAATATATTCTATGACTTTTAACTAATACAACTGTAGTGAACAAGAACACAAATGGGGATAACCAAATGTATTTTAATGCAACATTACAGAATTTCTTGCTAAGATCTGAGAAGCATACAGTAAATACTTTGCTTGCAAAATATTCATTAATTGTCTCATACTTTGTTTTCCCATTAGTTTCCATACCGATCACTCACTGTTCTCGTTCTCTTCTTTTCAATTTTCTCAACCTTCTACCTCCAAGTATTCCACTTTCGTCTGATGATACTTACTACTTATATCTGTCGACATCAATAGCACACACCACACAACTACAGATTGTTATCGAATAAAGTTTCGGACAGATAATAGCTTGATTATGCATTGATTAAGAAACTATCCATTTCAAGTACAAATAAATCTTTTGAGGTTTAGTCAGACAAATAAAGTCTAGTGGTTAGGCGCTCGTGCTCGAGACTAATAGGTCCTGGGTTCGAATTCTGCGAGGCGGGATCGTGGATGCGCACTGCTGAGCAGTTTCACAATAGGATGAAACGGCCGTCCAGTGTTTCCAGGTTTTCCATAGTGGTCTAGCCTCAATTGACTCATGATCTCAACTATTGAAATAAAGTGATTATTTGAAATTTAGCCTGTTAAACGTTACTTTTTTCTTATTCTAACATAAACATTCGATGATTATTATGTCCATTAATGATTAAAAAACAAATTGAGGCACGTTAGATTACTCTTATCCTCTGATTGTTAATTAGAAATTCAGGGGTTTTCTTTCAACGAGAAATGAAAATTAATCAACTTGTGAAAGTTCTACGACAAAATATAAGTCTTTTCTTTATGCTGAGAAAAATAGAAAAAATATTTTAAAAAAAAACTTGTATTCTAGTCTTGTATTTACGGAATCTTAGGAAATCAGCAACTAAATACCTTGTACAATGTTTATGCAAACCAATATTTGAAAGGATATAACCTAGAAAGAACAAATGTTGGGCCTGTCAGTTAATACAACAAATTTTCTTGCAGATTTAATAATGTGCTTTTGAAATGCATCTTCTATTTGAAGTTAGAAATAAATGAATGTAATATGATAATTAGGCTTATTAATAATAAATTAAAATAGGATTTTCATGGTGTGATTTGAGTTAATGTTATATTTCATATCAGAAAAGGTTTTGTGGATATTGTAGTAATTTCAGTGGTTGAGATCATGAGTCAATTGAAACTAGACCACCATGGAAAACCTGGAAGCACTGGACGGCCATTTCTTCCTATTGGGGGACTCCTGAGCAGTGCGAATATACGATCCCACCTTGTAAGATTCGAACCCAGGACCTATCAGTCTCACTGGACCACTGAGCTGGCATTCAACGGTGTTAATGTCTAACTTCAATCAATCCATGAAATTAAGCGACACATCCACCATTGTCTTCAGTGAGTTGCTATCTCACAACAGACCTGAATGAATTCCACTGATGACTGCTTCTCACCAGAACTCCAAGCCAGTCACTAATGAGCATATGTTGATTCATATCATAAAGGGTTGTAGTTACCTACTTTTATCAAGAGAACGCGATTAAGATAATGGAAACAAATAATATTATAACCAATTGTAGCAGGTATTGTTTTACTTTACTGGTTTGTTTAACTGTACCAAGATACATACATTCTTCCGTTGATTGTTACCTCGCACTAATTCGTTTACGCTCAGTAACCATACTTGTAACCTGGCACGATCTCGGTATTCTTTCGATACCACGAGATCGCCAACAAATACATCTCGACTACAGCCATCGACTGCCTTCTGATATTTGGCCTACGGGGGATCTTATCGGTTAAGTGGCACGTAGTCTTTCTGTAGTAGTGATCACAGTCAACCGCGACTCGACACCACACTACAGGGTTTTGTGGATAATTTCAAATTCAGTGGTAGTAGATCATCTTTGAAGGATCTAGAGAGAGAGAGAGTATGATAATCTTATTCCATAGTTTTTAAATGTACGAGTTTGGACGGTTTCGTTTTTAATATTTCTATACTGTCTGTTTGTGAATTATTTGAGTTAATTCAAATTACAATCTCAACATAAACACTGAGATTCAGCGGGATCGAGAAAACAAGTTTCAAACATGATGATAATACACATAGCAAATTAATACTCTTAAATTTTACAGTACTTAACATTGATACCGAAAAATAATGAGTAAAATTCATATTTCTGTTGAATGTAATGTACTTTACTCTTTATTGGTTAAAAAGTGATTTTCGTTTTCAAATATAGAACAAAAAACATCTTTGTTTTTCAAATCGAGGTGACCAATATAGTTTTCGATTGTTAAAGTATACTGAAGACATCGAATTTGATATACAGAAAGAAGAAGTTATCCCGTAACTTACATGGAAAATTATGCTTACTTACTTGCTTCTGTTACCCGTCGTGGAGCATAGGCTGCTGACTAGGGTTCTCCAACCTACTCTGTCCCGCATTCTCATTTCAAAATGTTTTAAAATGCTATTCACTATTTTCATGTCTACCTCCGATTCTCGGCGCAATGTGTACTTCAGTCTACCTATTTCCTATTTTCCTTCAGGATTCCAGGTTATATCCTGCTTTGTGATGCAGTTCAAAGGTTTCTTCAATGCATATCCGATCCAGAAATATATATTACCAAAACATTATATCTGAAAACACTTTGCCCTGTTTTCAGGCCTTATAAAAACGATCCGCAAGCACTGAGGTAGTAAACAGAATAAATGTAAAACAATGTTTGAAAAAATTGACTTCCTTCAACATCACTTTAGTTGACTCATGTCTAAATTCACAAATAATATTGGATTTTAATTATTTCAGCAAACCCAGTTATCTTCTGTAATTACTCAACTTAAACATTAAATGCTCATAAAAGTACATAGAAGGATAAGTCATTATGTTCTGGTTGTTTGAATTTTCCCATTGATGTTTAGAACTGCAATTGATTATTCAGTTATTGACATATGCAAAATTCAAACAACCAACACAAAATAAATCAAAATGTGACCTCATTGTACAAGTTAGTGGCTATGTGGACTTACTAGCTAAGTAAATAACGCGATGGTGTTTGAAACGAACGGTATTGGATTTAAGTTTCGAAGTGAACATCAACTCTTCGATACAGGTACATCCAGTTGACTAGTCCACGCGTCCTAGATCATTTTACCTGTTCCTGCCATCTAAATATTTCAACAAGTTATCTATTTTTGTTTGTTTTGATATATCATTATGTCTATTAATCGCATAACCTATTCTGCTGCGTTTCTAAAAAGTGTACAACCTTTCGTTGTCAAAGTTACAAAAAGCTCAATAAGAGAGAATGTGGTTGCTGGCAATATACAACGAAAAAAAAAGTACATTATTCAGATGTTCATTTACTGGACTGTAAACATCTAACTGGTAATCACTCAATATTTATCGCCAGGACCGACCAAGAAGAAAAAAACGGAAACTTGTTGAAATACTTAGCGCTGAGAATTCTATATTGTACCAAAAATATAATACTGAATAAAGCTGATAATAATAATAATAATAAAGTATTATTTAGTAAAGTTGATTAACTTAAATACATTTCATAATGAGATTAAATAACTACATTTTCCAAATAGAGTGAATAAATTTAATCGTCATAAAAAAAGTATATTGTTAACACTGATGGTATGTACACATATCTAATAATCTCTAAGGGACTAAATTTCGATGTTTATTTATTTAGTGATGGATAGAACTTGTATTTTATAAAATCCACACATACATATTCATATGCACATCTAATGAATTAAAAACAAAAAAAAACAAAAAAAACAAAAAAATATTATAAATCAAAATATATTTGTGTAAAACAGCACATTGAGTAACAAAATAGATTTGTATCTTGGTTACAAGATGATTTATTGTCTCACCTTTGTTTGTTTGTTTGTTTATTTTAAAATTCCAATATAATTTGAATTGTTTAGTATCAAATGATCAGTTTTACATTGAATTGTCCAATTCTTTAGTTATTTATGTAATAGAATCAATTCATTGAAACATACCATCACGTATATATATAGAAAGTATTTATATGCATAGAAGTATAAGAATAATTTAATGTCATATATTTATTTATTTTTTATTTATTTTATCATCTAAAGTAATTGACAAATAAACAATTATTTATGAAATATTCACAGTTTATATAAATTTAATTATCTCAGTTTATTGTGATAATTCTCATTCATCACATTGTTTAACATTATAGTATCAATGAAGATGTCATTGTATCTTTTGTTTACTTCATGTATAACATTGATTATAAGTGGAGAAAGCTTAAGTAAGTTCGTCATTATTATAAATAATAATAATAATTTATCTTCTGAGCTGGATGGTTTAGTCATGGAGTTTCTATCGTTCTTCTAGATGACATCATCAGCACAAACTTCAGATGGAAGTTTCTAATATGAAGTTTGTGCTAATGATGTCATTTAGAAGAATGATGAAAGCTTCACGACCAAATCATCCAGCTCAGAGAGTAAAAATTCATCAAAATCTTCGTCACCATCTCAAAATAATAATTTATTGTTAAATAACAACTGTGCATATCTATAATACTTTCAATCTGGTCTCTTCCAGTTCTTTTTTATGTCTTAATTATCAATTATAAACTTTAAAGTTTTGAATTTATTTATTGAATCCCATGTAAGATTTGTGTCAATGAGAAATAGTTTGAACATTAATTCACTTCATATGAATAATGATAAAGTCATATGTATGAATAAGATTAAACGATGAGAACAAAACACTATTTGTCATTAAAAAGAATTTTGATCTGCCTACTTATATATTTAGTTTTTGAAGTTAATCAACATTGCTCTAAGATATCATCAGAAGAGCTATTAAGAATCAGGAAGCATTAAAATGGTTATTAACATTATGCATTGAAAGAACCTTCATATCCCATGATCATCGTGATAGCTCTTAACAATCAAACTATAAAAAATTAGTTCACATTCCTATTTTTAGTCAGTATGTTATATGGCACTAGTCCCAATTAGAGTCATTATTGATTTATTGTCTGATTTCTGATTTGTTTTCTTCGTCGACGACGGTTTTTAACTAAAATCTCTGTAGATCTATCTTATACGTAGCCATTGATGCGCATATAAATGATACTAACTAAAATGTTTTAAGTTGAAACTTGTATGACTTGAGGATGCTTTCCGTCGTTTGAGTAAGTCGATTATGTATTCATTTTAAAAACACTATCAAGTCTAAATTAGTTAACATTTCTTTTTTTGAAAGAAATAGGTAAACATACGCCTCACAGTTTAACAGAAACACTTTGATTCACGAGAAATATTTCTTCAGCTGTGTTATAACTTGTGGCCTTGGGTCCTATTAATATATAAAGTAATGATACCGCCAATTAGAGAACAGTGATCTATCAACCGCGCCAATGACACATAAAAACCGTTCGAGCGGTCTAGAGACTTTATCGATCCTCCTTCCTACCTAGCCATAACTGTTGAGTACAGAACACCAATCTCAGCCTCCGCAATATGAATCATGTATTTCAAACATACGGGGTTTACATACAAACCAAACAGACCAAATCGCACCACAAAATAGAAAATAACATTTGTACAAGTTTTAGCCAAAAAACGCCTGTGAGTGTGGGAGGTAGTAATTAATAGATTGAGCATAACTCAAGAACGGTAAACCATATAATAATAGTGTATGAGTCAAAATAAAGCTTATAACAAGAGGAACACGAATATGAATAGTTTAGTTACTTAATAATTATACAATAAAAATATATGTATCTTATTGATCCATAAATAGTTCTCGAAAGTTACCATTCATAAGTCTCGTCGGGATATAACAAGCTGGTCTCACCAAATGACATGAAAGTCTACGGTTTGATCCTTGATTTCATAGTTTTAATCTATCTGTCTAGTCTCGGTTTAGTATTGTGAATTAAAAATTCATGATTTGTTAATTTCATTTATTATTGTACACATTTCTCCTGGTATATTAAGAAAGATTCGAAAGTAATTTAAGTAAACATAACATTGATTGCAATGAGAGAAATCATATTTTGATGAAGTTTTGTTCTCTGGACTGGATGATTTGGTCATGGAGCTTTCACCATTCATCTGAACGACATAAACATAAACTTTATATTACAAAATTTCCTTAAGCAATTTAATGAAACTTGTAGTGTCGGTTATTATGTTAAGCCCATATACCTTATTCTAGCTTTCGGACAGCCCATTCTATTCACTTTACTTGAGTCACATTCTGACCTTGTTAATTATTCACTTATCAATCTTGACTGTTTTTATATGAGCGCGTAGGTGTGTGTACATTTCTTATCCCATTACTCATCACATGTCTGTAACTTACTTTTGTGTAAATATAAATAATGATTAACACTTGGTTAAATGGGAGTTGGCTTACCAGCCATCTCCACTGCGTCGTTTCTTTTCTCTCCATTCCATTCGCTTCATATACAAAATATATGTATTCCAAGTCCATTCTCGTCACTTGACCTATCTAAATCCATTATTGACCAACGCGATTAAAGTCGACGATTATATACGAGGATAGACGACATATATGTTTCGACAACGATCATTCACACGATCAAATTGGAGTCAGATCTCGGACCACTAAAGTGGAGAGCACGTCGATAAATATCGTCCGATCTAAATGACGACAAAATAAAGGGACCCACCAAAAATCTTTCTATCATGTTTAAAACTCTCAACTACCTTTTTTTTTAGTGAAACGCCTTTATGAATAAGTGAATAACTTGAAACTTCATAATGAATAATAGTTTAATTCATAATAAATTGATTCAATGGATTTTTATTGAATTAGAAAATTATGTTTATGTTTATGGTGTTATTAGTAAAACAGGTAATGTATTTTAATGTATTTTATTCAGTTATACCTTGATATTACTTACAAAAGACGTTTCCTATTTCATTCCTATAAAAATCTACTGAGACTGTAATCAAAGTTAATATCTTGCTTCAATGTATTACTTGTACAAAATATGTGCTAACTTGAATGATTTAGACAGTTTGATAGAATTAGCTGAACTTTTTAAATATGATTGCATAAAAATCAGACGAACTGATATATATATATATATATATATATATATATATATATATATGTACCTGAAGTTTGTGTTGATGATATCTTTCAGAAGAACAATGAAAGCTTCATGACCAAACCATACAAATCAGAGGACAAAACTTTATTAAAATATATATAGTACTTTTTTAAAAACACAGATTTGTCATTGAGAATTATTTTCACTTCTCGACCTTGAGTATGCGGGTGATATTGTCTTATTGTGCGATAATACGCAAACCGTGCAATCTGCATTCAATCAGTTGGTAATTAGTATTCGTAGGTATGGTGTGTGTGCTTCGTGCCTTCTAAGTGCAAAGTACTTTTACAAAACCGTCAGGATCCTGATTCTGTACTCACCCTGGTTAGTGAGCAGATAGAAGTAGTCGAGAAGTCCATGTATCTAGGTAGCTGCATAAGTGCTGGTGGGGGTGTGAGTGATGAGATCAATACAGGTATAGTGAAAGCCAGAGAGGCTTATGCTAATCTGGGCCATCTTTGGCGCCTTCTTGATGTTAGTCTGGCTGTAAAAGGTCGGATCTACAACGCACTTCTGCTCTACGCTTGTGAAACCTGGCCTCTCCGAGTTGAGGACGTTAGACGACTCTCTGTGTTTGATCATAGCTGTCTCCGAAGGATTGCTGACATCCAGTGGCAACACCATGTTGGTAATGCAGAGGTTCGGCATCGTGTGTTCGGGTGCAGAGACGATAACCCAATGGTGTCACCATCTTGAAACACCGACTTCGGTGGCTTGCACATGTTCTACGAATGTCGTCCCAGAGAGTTCCACATCGTGCATTATTTGCCGACTCTGAGACTGGTTGGAAGAAGCAGAGAGGTGGTCAGTGTATGACATGGTGTCGGGGTATGAAAGAAAGCTGGAAAGGACTGGCTTGTGTTGGTCCTTCACGACTCCCTGGTTGGGGTCTTAGAGATGGTGCAACACAATAGCTAGAGACGTTATCAGGTATGGCTCAGAAGAGAAGTCAGCGGCGATCCTGCTGTAACCTTATTTTGCTTTTTTCATAAAAAGTAACCTTAACGTCTTTAACTGGAAGAATTTTTTTCTGGTTGTACCTTTCTGTTTCCCCCATTATTATTACTATTTCACTACCATACACTAATTTGTGGGCGTTATTGTTGTTTTTTCGTTTTACACGAACCTTACATTCTTTGTCTCTTCCCATTCTCATTATTATTGTGTGGCGCGTATGTATCTGGTGTCCCCTTGTGCCAATATTTATGTGTTCAATTAAATGAATGAATAAATAAATAATTTTCACTATTAGTGTTACTGTTCCTACATGTGAGTGAAAAAGTGAGGAATGAAATATGTTTGAATTACTTACTTATGCCTATTACTCCTCGTGCAGGAACATAGGCTGCTCACCAGCGACCGTTTACTAAATACGTGATCCTATTAAAATCAAGTAACTTTATTTCTGAATAGTCTCTAATAATAAAATCTAATTGGTGCGTTTCAACCCATTCAGTAGTCGTTGGTTGGATCTATCTACATAAAAGTATTAATGTTCACTGAAAGACGTGAAAACATTTAACACATATTTATTGAATTACTATACTCACTAGTTCAAGACATCTTAGTTCAAATGGTCGAGTCCTAAATTGTAAATCCTAATATTGAAAATCTTTCACCATTATAGGACATCATGAAAATGACAAATTACTTAAACAATACGGTGATACAAATGACAATGGAATTATAACAAATGGTGATCTTATCAGTGAAAATAATCATAATGAATCTTCCAATGACGTGGATACAGAAGGTAGGACGTTTTTGATTCTTTTTTGTTTTTGTTTAAGTAAATATATTTCCAGTTGTGAACAACTTTAACCTCATGAATGAGTAATTAAGGTGATAGACTTTAGTTATATCATATCAAAAGATACATTTCATAATGCTGTAGACTGGATATAATAGAAAATAAATCCATGTGAGGATGAATACAATAATGATACTAAGTAGATTGTCAACATTTGCGACCATTGGTAAAAATTCCGAAATTCTATAACTTTTTATTTTCTACACTGTTTTTCCTATTTGAATGCTTCGCAAGAATATTACACAAACCCGCAAATTTAGCTGACTTTCAAATAATTAGAAGCAAATTGATAGTTTCAAAAAATGCAGCTTAATTTATTTCATATTAACCTAGTAAAGGAGCGTTTTTGGTAACTAGAATCTGGTCAGAAAGTGCCGTGTAACGTGATAGGTATTTTGTGCACGTTTAGGCAGAAACGTCATAATATAAAATAAACCATATGTAAAATTATATATTGACAATAAATATTGCTCGAAGTAAAAAAAATATTTTATAGCAACCAGTATTTCTTATTCTTGATGTCAAATCAGATTCCTCGTTTAGAATACTATAAGGAACCTTAGAGTCTGCCTACATTTTTAGAAAGAATTGTAAGTCTCCCAAAACAGTTTATTGTATGTGGATTAAGTTTTATGGTACGTTTAATGTTAGTATGCTTTCTTTAGACGATATTCATAATCATAACGGATTGGCTCGATGGGGTGAAGGAAATCCCTATCGCTTGAATTCTGAACAGTCCAAGTCAAAGAATGACGAAGAACACGAGACTACTGAAGAAAAGTATAGTGAAGAACATGGAAAAGAAAACACAAGTACAGAAAATCAGGATGAAGAAATAAAAACTGAAAGTGAAAGTAGGTGATAGGTTTCTGCTAAGCGACGTAGTTTAATGTTTGAAACTGACTATCATCATACTCATTAGTTTAGGTACAGAATTACCCGTTGGATTGCTTGACTGTCCAAGAAACTGTATACGCATACATAATATCATGATTGCATTCTAATTGCGGGTCTTGTAATAATCCTATCCCACAAAATACAGTTAAACAGATTGTTTTACTTCTTCGAAGATTAAAATATCTGTGTTTCGGACATAGATTATGCATAGTAAAATCTAGAGGTTATAACTACAGTTATTTAAACGGTGGCAAAATATCAAACTGTTCATGTAAGTGATTCATAAAATAAATCTCAAATTTAACACACAATGGGATGGTGTTGCTTAGTCTATCGATGTCAAATTATTCATCACCCACCACGGTTTCATTCTTAGATGACAACGAAACAACCCATAGTTTGTTATTCAACAAGGAATTTAAGAGCCGCTTTATCCTGCATAAGACCGACTGCTCAATATATTATGTCTAAAACTCTCGTCACGATTAGTTTCAATATCTTAGAACCCATGGCAGATCCTTACTACTGAATCCAAGTATGATAAAATATGGGTTTGACTTTGAGAACATGACTACAAAAAAATATAAAGAACAGTATACCCATCAATAACGTTAGTTAGCTTGATAGCAACGTTGGATTGACTTACTAGCATCATGATGTCTTCTGAAATATTTCAAGCACACGCCATTGCTCAACAAATTTTTCACAGCTTATGGTTTAAGTACATCATTATAAGATAAATAACTTAGGTGCTGGATTGACCAATTGGCTTAATTTTAATATATATCTTAAGCTTTGTTTGATGATTGAATCAGTAGAGCCTCTGTGTCATCACAAAGATAATTCAGACCACCCTTGAAACTCAAATTCATTTGGCTCAAATGAACAGTTTAAAATTTAACCACCTTTTATTTTAACTGTAATTATGTGACTTTTCAACTACGTGCCTATCTGACTATTTCGTTAGAAATTCATTAATACATCTTTAGCTTCAGGTCATCAACATGAAGGAATTGTCAATTGGGGACGACATCAAACGGAATATTATGAAGACATATTTACAGTCGTGAATAAAACCAAAAACAATCTTCAAAAGGTAATGAGACCATTTATTCATTCATTTTACAAAAAAAGTTAACTATTAATCCCTAATTGATATTCATATCAAAAGAATGATTCAGGGAAGATCTTATACAAAAATTGCTATTGTATTTTGAAATAGTCGTCAATAAAACAACTATGAGTATAATTAGTATGAGCAAAATCAGTGTTACTTAGAATAATTCAGCATGATAGAACTATTGATTCATTGAATTATATTAATATATTACACATGTGCTTAAGTTATTTGCATTCACAAGTACAATAAGTACATAATACCTTTTTTAATGAAAATTAATGTCAAAGAGTCCTATGAATGTATATATCATTTATTTAAGGTCAGTGACTAGAATTTAAAGTGATCCATTAACGGATTACAGTCAGTTAGAAAACCAGTAACAAACATAACTTTTGATAGGAATTGAAATAAAAACTTTTATATGACAATTTGCATTTAAGTATATATTGAATTATTACCTAATTTTACAAACATAGACTTGAAAAACACATCTTATATCTTCCTGACATTTGTTCTCAAAGATACCCTTTGATTTCTCATCCAATTTGGAATGTATTCTTTATTTGAATGGTTGTTTTGATCATATGAATCATTCGGATCATAGGATAGTATATTTTCTAAATAATTTTGTATATTTTTGAACTTATTACCATCAAAAATAAGTGTGAGACTTTCTCAGATAAGTGACTTTGTCAAGTTTGTGTTCTGTGAAGAAGCTTAATTTTATTTAAGAGTTGCCTAGTGATTATGTACAATGTAAGTAATTAATTTTTTATTTATTAATTGTCTATATGTATTTAATTTTAACAACTAAATTCATGAGTCAATTAAAGCTAGACCACCAACTAATCCATGAAATTGCACTACCGTGCACCATTGTTGGTTGAGGATAGATATTAACACTGTTAGATTCTGGCTCAGTGGTCTAGAGGTTAAGCATTCGTGAGGAAGAGCAATGGGGCCTGGGTTCGAATCTCGAGGTGCGGGATCGTGGATGAGCACCGTTGAGGATTCCCATGCTGAGACGAAGCGGCCATCCAGTGCTTCTAGGTTTTCCATGGTGGTCCAGCTTTAATTGACTCATAAATTCAAATATTAAAATCACTAAATAACAATGCTATTTATTCTTCACTGTCTTTGATGGACTTCATGCCAACGAAATATTTCACTCGGCATATGCCTAATATTTATTTTTCTTTATAGACAGTAAATAGTAATGCGGTGCAACAACTAAAAACTTTGCTTGAAAGACAAGTTCATTGTGAACTTTAATAATAAACGAAACTAATTAAGATGTTTCACACTTTTGATCCATCTTTTAAAAATCAAGTAGACAAATTGACTATCGTTGGCTTTCTAAAGTTACAAGTTAGAAAATGGAATACACTACCGAAGTGTATGTGTTTATTCCCAAACAACAAATTGAAAGTTAAGTTCCATTAAGTCAAATTTTGGATATCTGAAGAACGACAGTTAAGTTTTTTATTTTTTAAGAAAAATAAAACAAATCCCTAAAATTCATTAACATACAAGGAGCTTTTGTTCATATGCCCAATAAATAAGGTGTCTTGAATATGCCCCATTTTATTAGTTCACTAAAATTTCAACTATGAACATAATTCCGTCTCTTTTCATTTCATTAGATGAAAATAGAACATTTCATAACAACACGAACAGAATTCCCGAAGATATATCAGACAATAGTTCACTTGAAACGACTCCTATGAATATCAACGAGTCCCTTACTCATAATCTGAATAGTCATGATCATTATCATTATGATCATGATCTTAATAATGATGATAATACTACTGATTTATTGCATGATGAACAGATCATTGATCATTTAGTTGATCCATTATTATCAGATATCTATGTAGCAAATAATCATTCTACAATTTCAACTCATACAGACAATGGAGATGATGACTGGAAAGCTGAACAATCATGCCGAAAATGTATCAAATGGCAGAAATTACAATTAACACTTCCGTGCTTATTATATCCGATAAATTTTGATGCACCTCAAGAAGTGAATCAAACCAAAATAATTTATGTACATGTAATGAGAAAAGTGATTGCACAAATTAATAAAAGCTTAAATGAATTGTTATTAGAGTTGGAGCCATAATAGTTTATACTATTTCTATAAAATTCTAATATTATGATAATGAACGAACTTACTGTAACACGTCAGTCAATTGCAATTTTATCTTAATATTTTTATCTACTTTTCAGTGAATATAAGTAGTATACATTTCAAATAAATATGTTTCTTGCTTAATTTAACAGATATTATTTTCTGTTTCGGCATATATGATCAATAGTATAGATTTAAAAACGACAATTAAGATGCAGTATATAGCAGTTCAGCTCAGATCGCGTACATCTCATTAGAGATTGGCCATTTGGAGTCCAAAATATCAACTACGAAAAAATGCACAGACTTAATAATAATTTTATACTGGTGGGACAATTTATTTGTTATCTATACACCATGACCTAGTGGATAACATTTTGCTATTTAAAATAAAATTCATCAGATTTGAGTATCTATATAAATATCAACACTAGGATGTAATTTCAACCAGATGACGAGTTCATAGTGAAAAGATAGACGAGTCCTTTAATTCTCCTTTTGACCAAGAACCAACTAAACTTAAAACTAACAACATTTTTGTTAGTAGTTTGGAAACCACCTTGTAATTTAGTTTTATTTTGATCTTCCACTTCTCCTTTGGCCTTGAGCATTCCATATGAGGGCTTTCTGTGTGACGCAGCTGGATGCTTTCCTCAATGTTATGTCCTATCCAATTCCACTGCTTCTTCCTGAGTTTTTCCTCCGCTGGAATCTGGTTTGTTCTCTCTTATAGTAGGTTGTTGCAGATAATATCTGGCCAACGGATCCGAAGTATTTTGTGTAGAAAGTCGTTAATAAACACTTGTATCTTCTGGATGACGACTTTAGTAGTTCTTCAAGTTTCCGCCCTAAACAGTAGAACTGTCTTGACATTTGTAGTGAAAATCCTGCCCTTGATGTTGGTTGACAATTGTTTTGAGTTCCGAATTTTGATTTATGTATAACATATGTTTTTGTCTATGCCATCCAGTATCGAGACCTTACTGAAGTATATTACACTTCTTGTTGGCAAATGTAATGTTCGTTTAATTTTCCCTCATAAGTAGCTATGATTTTTTTTGTTTCAAAAGTTTTCATCATTAAAAAGCGTGTTAAGTCTGCATCACATACATAAAAGCGAACACTTGATTATCATTTACCTTAAAATTTAACAGAAGGACAACAAAACCTTTTCTTCTGTTTGTATTAAGTTTAATGTATGTCAGTCAATGAAAGCTTGGTGAAAAACCTTATCATCCCAAGTTTTAACTATAATACTGAAGAATTCATCTATCAATATATATATATATATATATATATATATATATATATATATATATATATATATATATATATATATATATATATATATATATATATAACTAGAAAGCATAATAATGTGTAAACTAATAATCTACGTTCTACGTTCTTTTCGAAATAGTTTGCTAATAAATGTTCAGAAAAAAGAAATAAACGCGAATATTTCATTAAAACATATTTATATTACATACTTGTAAATTTAAATAAAACCAGAACAAACATGGATACAGAATATTATGAATTCATTATATTTCGTGGTTTGTCATCAGCTGCTTACAACTAAATATGTGGAACAATTGACATAAGTGAATAAAAAGAATTGGAATAGCAAGGGTTATCAATAATAAATATATAAATATGTGGGCAAGATCAGACCAGAGGTAATTTGGTGTTAGAATCATGAAAACGTTAGGGATGGGAGTTGTAATAGTTGAATGAAGTTCAGAGATAAATAAGATAAATTATGTGATAATTTTAGAGGTAATGAAGGGTTTACATAAGATTCATGAAATTAAAAAGAACTGGTAAGATAGGTTACGTAATAATTGAATAGGATTTGAATAGTTTACATAATTTAAGAGAATCGAGTGAGAGGAAATGCACAAGTGGAGGGGTAGTTTAAGAATTCATTCATTTCAATTCTTTACAATCACTTATGTCAATCGTTCCGTATTATATCTTACCTCAATTTATAATTCCAATACATATTTGGTTGTAAGCAGCTGATGATAAACCACGAAATATAATGAATTCATTTTTATTCTGCATCCATGTTTGTTCTGGCTTTATTTAAATTCATAAAGGGAATTAATTGCATGAAATAGTTGCGAACTGTTTACAATCGTTTCAATTATAATTGGTGATGTAATCACACATTTATGTTACTATTACTTCTGAATAGGTAATAAACCTAAATAGGTAAGGAAATTTCATGTCAAGTAAACAAAGAAATATCATGTCACAATGAATATAAAGACATTTTAGCCTATTTTATTTCATATTTGTTCTTTACAGTCAACTAAAGAGTCTCGTCATTTTAATCCGATTTATATGGATGATAAAGGAAACTTTATTTAGTAAACTAAAAAGAACAGATAGTTCACTGTATGTTTGTTTGTTTGTTTTTTCAGTAGAAGTCTTTGTAATTTAAAAATGCATAACTATGTAATTGTAATGAACCATGAATTAATCCAACTCTGTTTCTAACAGGATTAGAAGAGAAAAACATTCCTTTTTATAATCACAAATTGATTTTGGCTGAAAAGATAAACGAGGTCAGTTTAGGCTTGTAGAAAAATATTATAATTAGTTTATTGTAAAATGAATTTATCATTAAAGATCATGGTGACAATAATAACAATAGTAAAATAGATATGAATAACCCGAACTTTCAGCAAATTAAGATTATAGTCACTATACATTAATTCCAATATCCGACAATCATTTAAAGAAGGCTACTAATTACTTTATGTCAGATTAATTTTCTTACTCAATAAATTTGAGTTTATTCTCAACTTTTTCACCCTGATGAGCGCACTAAAAATGTTCAAATATATCCGTATATATATGTTGGGATCACCTGGTAAGTAATATTGAAGTTAAACGCAGGGTGTTAGGGAATGATGGTAAATCAGTTGATGAGGTTGTGAATCCTCATCGACTGAGATGGTTGGGTCACATGTTACGTATGCCTGAACACCGATTACTAGAACGCACAATGCTGACTAGTGTTGGATATAGTTGGAAGAAAGTTAGGGGCGGCCAAACCAAAACGTGGTATCGGTGCTTGAAGTCACTAACTTCTAGTCTGAGCCATGTTGGTAGATGCAGACCACTTGATTGTGTTCCGCGTGAATATCGTAACCAATGGTTGGAGACTGTTGGTGACATGGCTCAGAATCGATCACAATGGCGTAGGTGTATACACTCTCTGTCTTCCCTTAAACTATGAGATTAAAATCGCTTCATATATTTCTTTCTACGAACTCATTCTTTCTTCCTGTACTATATCCTTATATGCAATCTTTCTTTTATATATTACCACCTCTGAATTAACTACTTCTATGAATCCGGTGTTCATCTTGTTGTGCTCGTGAGATATGGCAACTTGGACCGATGCATATATGTGCCTGGTCCTACGTTGTAGCTGACTGATATATATATATATATATATATATATATAGTTCACCTTTTTAATCCGACAGATGGTGTTGTCCAGAAAGGAAGAAAGAAAAGGATTGTGAACTGGAAGAATCAGACAGTATGTAAAGAACAACCGATCGAAGATTTTGTTATGTATCCAGAGGAATATACCAATAATTATCGTGTTAAGTCGAATGGTGTCCTTGGACGTTAAATGGACATTTTCTATTGGTCGATATTTATTTCACTTGTTAAATATTGTGTAAATGTTGTTTTCTATTTTGTGGTACAATGTGGTTTGTTTGGTTGGTATATAAGCAGAGTATGTCTGAAATACAATGATTCATATCTCAGAGGCTGTAACTTGCGTTCTGGACTCAACTGGCTGGGATAGACAGCGAAGTAGGGCCAATCGGGACTATAGGTCATCCTTACGTGTTTTACGTGTCACAGAACCGGTCGATATAAACGCTGCGCATTAAACCTGCAGTCTACACGTTACAACAGATTTGCAGATGAAATTTTTAATGCATGGTCTTAATATTTTACAAACATCTCTAATTTCGTATGAAATAATAAATTAGTTGTCCCCACCTGACTTTTCGTTCGTTACAGTATGATCTCATTCACACCATAACAAGATACAATTAAAATTTAGAGGCTGATAAATTCAAACAGACAAATAAAATTTTTTCACTATTAATCACTTAATTTGAATCTTGTTGTTAACCCAATTTAGCGTAAAAGCCTGATAAGTCGCAATTAAATGACAATTCAACTAAACATGCAATTAAGGGATTTGTTTTGTGTAAAGTATTAACCATATGTTATACTTAACTCATTTCGCAACAACGGTTTGTTTGTATGACGGTTGGGATAAAAAGTTTTTGTAACATAAATACCAGTTTCTGAATGCTGACAAATCCAAACAAATTAGATAGTACCATAAATAAATCAACCCATAAGGAGGAATCAACACTTTTAGCGCATAGTTTTACAGATTTGACGTTTTTTTTATTATCATACTGATTTTGCACAATTGAAAAATGGGAAAATATTTCTTTCTTATGTCTGACAAGTGTTAAATGTGGGCCAGTTACCCACTGAAGACAGTGAAGGGTCACGGATTAATTGAAATTAAACATGTAAACCACTGGGTGTCAGCTCTGTGGTTTAGAATTTAAGTGTTCGATGTAAGACCTGAACGCTAATGCAGTGGATTAATCGAAAGCTTACAAATAAGGTGACGTTGTCTCAATCATTAAACTCTTAATGACAAGTGCACATTGATTGACCGAGAAAAGGTTTTATTTTATAAGGAATTTATATAAAAGTACATATGTATACGAATCGTCCTGTAGTAATAAACGTCTTCCTCCTTCTCAGTCAACAACCGATTGAGGGTTTTCGTATCATACGTTTATGATCAATATTAACCTCAAACATATTGAAACTGGTCGCCAGTACACTCATGAATGAACACTGTCAAAAGTCTAATACTTGGATGAAACAACTAGTTAGTGTTTCTTAGTTTTAAATAGTTGTGTTGGGGACGATAGATCCCCAAACTCATATTTTTAAATTTTATCTTATCGATCACCGAATCGATTAAATGTTAGA